CTGTCGTAAAATGAGACGTTAAATTTGAAATCGAGAAAAAAAATAGGGGGTTCCATTTGAAATAAGCAACTTTTTGAGGTTTAAAAACATGCAAGCTCAGAGGCTAATTGCGCGGTTTAGAAGTATTTCCTCATAATTTAAAACATATCTACGCGTAGATCATGATGTTCTGTTAGAATCGCTGAAAACTGTTTTCCAAAATTCGCAGCGGGTAGTGTACAGCATCGATTTCTGTGGAACCCAGTAGCTGTCAAAACTTTCACATTTTTACGAATAACTCGGAAATCGTAAATTTTTCAGGTAAAACGTTTGACACAAACTTAACTTAAATTTTGACGACAAATCTGAAAATGAATGAAAAAAGGGGCGGTTCCATTTAAAAAACCAAAGTTGGTAACTACCACACGTTTATGATACACCTCGTATATTGGAAAGTAATTTTAAAATGTTGACCTTTTAAACATGAAAAACTTTCGTAGGACGTATTTTCTTGTAAAGTTCATATTTACTGATATATCGCACTTTGACGCACTAATGAGCAACCCTGTATACAGTTAATATATATTTGGTATAATTAACCATTTACCTGTCAAATAACCGCTATTCATCTAAATGTTCTACACACCAAAAAAGAAAATGCTAAGATTTGAGATGAGACATGATAATACAGAAAAAGACAAGCTAAACAAAGATGCAACGCTGTGAATGCTACAGTGGCTTTATACAAGACAGTGGCGACAATAGGGCCAAAGCTCCTCCCATTCGACATTATGGGTCGAATCAATTTAGCACCAACATATTTTGCATTGATCTGTAAGTCTCTTTCTTTAATTTGAAATTATTGCCATAATATAAAACATTTTGCGGTTATATTAGTAACCAGCTTTAAAGATGGGTTTGTCTATATAAAATACCTTGCCTTGAGAGTTAAGTCAGCTGAATCGAGATGCAATTCAGCACGTAAAAAGAATTGTTCACAGCAATGGAAATTTAGGTTACGTTTAGGTTTTCAGTCTTGTTCGTTCTCGTTATAAATCAAACGTTTGTTTTTAAACGAGCGTATAATAGACTCACTTGTAACCATTACTGAGTAATGTTTATTGTCTAGGCCTCAGGTATTAAAACACACACAACAAACATTATAAGAGATTATTTGGCTTTATTCAATAAAAACACACATTTAATTTCTGATGTCTAGACGCAATATGATACTCTATAAAATTCAGAAATTAAGAGCGAAATACTACAAATATGTGAAGTAAAACGCGAATAGCTTCATAGTCCGCATAGTAAATAAAATAATTTCTGCCCCAAAATGGCGAATTTAATCACGTGAAGGCCTTAACCAATAGAAAACCTGACTACCATTGTCGCCACTGTCTTGTATAAAGCCACTGTAGTGAATGTGAATGTGTGACCTATAGTCGGTACGTTATAACTTTGGTCGCACGTCATCAAACGTCGGCCGAGCGTTGTTGCCACAATCGCCATAAATTATGTATATAAACATAAATACTCAAAGCATTCTTAAATTATCTCAATGCTGTCTCGCTTTTGCTGATTATTCTTTATGGAATAATGGTTTATTTGAAAATCGCAAATATACCGTCAACGTGTACTTATCGATGAGTTATCGATAAGTACATGACAAATGCAACAAGCAAACGTCATGTGTTATTAAAAAAATTCCGATAAATCTACGATCGATTCGGCAGCATTGTGATTTTCACCAACCTAATAATTTTAAAGATGAACAATCAACATCTCTTTAAATTAGGTAGTACATATTCTAAAGTTCTTTCGCATTCTATGATTGCTTGATGTTCTCCAATGCCCAAAACTCAACGAAAAAGATTCGACTTATCACACAAATTTCATGCATAATTGTTTTTATGTTGGTAGTCAGATTTCGTCACTGATGACGCGCAACCAAAGTTATAGCGTACAGACTATAGTGATTTAATGAATGATAGTGAATTAAAAATATATTAAACTGTTATGTACCGTAAGCTTTACGTCTTCCTTTTAGTGCCCCAGAAGCCGTACTTGATTTACCTTGAAATGTATTAAAACATGCATATAATTACGAAAAAAATGTATATTATTAGTGAATCTATATAGTGGAATTTTAGTTTAGTTTAGCGAAAGAAGCATCATGCTATTGTATTTGCAAATTTAAAGTGAAACATGCAACAGTAAATCCTCGATAATATGGCATTCAGTTATTCGCCACCATCCCAGTAGCATGTCAATGAATCCCATGAAACATAAGTTCTTTTGTGTACCTATTCGGGGCAAATGTGTGTATGTACATAATATACCTTTTGGATATGTTGTTCATTTATGAGCATCCTAACCGTTCTACATTTTTTTTTTTCGATTTTACATTAGTTTCAAGGTTATAACCATTCTAAATTTGAATTTATTCCAATTGAAAAAAATCCTATTAAATTCCCAGAAGACTGGAAAGAAAGCATAATAATCCTCATACACGAAAAAGGAGACAGAATGGATTGCAAAACTTATAGAGGAATATCGCTTATAAACGTATCATACAAAGTGCTATCAAATATAATCCTGTCGAGAATTACCCCACTCACAGAGGAAATAATAAGAGATTATCAGTATGGCTTTCGGACACAACCGGTCAACTGTTCACGATCAGACAGATACTAGAAAAAAGCTGGGAATTGAATAGGCAGCTACACCATTTTTTTATAGACTTTCAACAGGCCTATGATAGTGTGAAAAGAGTTAAGATCTGGGAGACGATGGCAGAATTCCGGATACCTCATAAAATAATAAAACTAACCAGAGTTTGTGTAGAAGGGTCCAGATGCAGAGTAAAGGTTGGGAGCGATATGTCGGACTTATTCAGAGTAAGTACGGGACTGAAGCAGGGTGACGCGCTGTCCCCTACTCTTTTCAATATTGCCCTGGGGAAGGTCGTAAGGAACTCGAAACAAAGCTCTTCCAAACGAACGATTCACAACTAACACTTGCTTATGCGGACGATAATGACGTGGTGGAAACTAGCGTAATAAACAGCAAGGAAACGTTTGTTAAACTGGAACACGAGGCATCTAAGATGGATCTAAGGATCAACGAAGGCAAGAACAAATACATACACATCTCTAGAACAGGCAGAGGGAGACTGGGACAAAATGTGACAATGAATGAATACAACTTTTATATTATTATACAACTGCTTTTATGCCCTTAAGAACGTATTTGGATCCAAATAAATTACTAGAAGATCTAAAATCAAAGTATACAAACGTCATCAGACCTATCATCATGTACGGCTGCGAATCGTGGACGCTAACGGTACCAAATGAGCAGATCATTCGAAGATTCGAAAGACGGATACTGAGGAAAATATACGGCCCGACAAAGAATCCACAGACGCAGCAGCACAGAAGTAAAACTAATACAGAACTGAGAGAGCTATACGACGAACCGGATCTGTGCAACATGATAAAGGCTCAACGGCTTAGATGGGCAGGACACGTGCGTAGGCAGCCCGAAGATAGGCTAATACGACTGGTATAGCAGAAAGCCCCATAGGAGAAAACACCAGTTGGGAGATCCAGACTAAGATGGCGAGATAACATCGCTGCTGATCTGAGAAAATTGGGCGTCGAAAATGGTACGGATCTTATGACCGACCGAGTTGGATGGAGGTCGGAAGTCGTCGCGTCAGCCAAAGCGCATCAGGGGCTGTAGCGCTACACTGTACGCGAGTAAGTAAGTAAATTTAAATTTCTATTTGCACTTGCTGAACGGCTGACGTCACTACACCCGGCTTTGATTTGGCTTGCATTTGGTTCCCGTGGTGTGGGGTTCACTTTCAACTTTTTATGTTCAAACCAGCTTTAATGGGTGCGAAGTGGGGTTCAGTTGGTGATTTGAAGAAAATGGCTTATAAATATTGTATGGTGCCGGAGTGCAGCAGTACTAAGGTGCCTACACCAGAAAAAATATTTATAAAAGTGCATTTGGACGAAAAACGGTTAAAACTGTGGCTTCAAGTGGCATGACGAAATGTGAAGGCTTCCAAAAAGATATTGACAAAAACTTGTATTTTTGCTCCGTTTTTGAATCAATCGTTGATGCAAAAATATCACCCGTTTGAAGAAAATCCAGATAGGACAAAATAGAAAAATATAGACTGGTTAAAATTTATCCACCAGTCCAGTAGCTTTTCTATTAAATCTGAGAGCAAACAGTTGTATACTCAATTTATAGCTAATCAAGGGTAATGAATTTTTATGTATACCCGTTTTAAACGTCCTCACTCAAAAATAATATAACAAAAACCAAACTTATACCGGCTTTCAATTTGAAAACTTCCCAACCTTAAGAAAGAAAATCTGCAAGAAATATCTTTCTTGCAGGCAAAAAGATGAAAAATCAGAAAAACCCGTCAATTTTATTTTAGTCAATTTACGGGTCCTGATTCCTAACGAATAGGGGTCAAAGTTTTACTGTACTACAAATATATGAAACATAAAAAATCAAGACAATTTCACAAACAACTAATATACATATATGTATTAATCAATGTACTTACGTGTTACAGGAGTGAACCATTTCAATATAAGTCTAGTTATTACCGTGAAGTCGATTGGAATTCCACTAAGTATAAGCTTGGCCAAAGCTGTGATCACTGTATGTCTGATATCGTCATTCTAAATTACAAAATAAAATAAAATCGTGTGTGATCGTTCAGGGAAAACAAAACTTTCGATGTTTTAGATTTTCCATTTATTTCAGTGAATTTAAGGAATTCAGTAAATTAATTTCAATCGGCTTAATAAGCACTAATTATTTATGGTCGCTCTTTTTCTCGCCAGTCCAAAACATATAGCAAAGTTGCTTTCTTAAGAAATAATACATATAGCGTAAATAATGACCATAAAATATTTATAAATTATTTTAGATAAAAGGAGCATTATACGTCGTTATGAGCAATTAATTATTATTGTACAAATTATGATTATAAGTAAAACTTACTTCGTCATCCATCATATCCATAAAAACACTTAAAATTGAATCAATAGTCAAGTTTGTATTAGCCAACGAGTTCAGTTCGTTTGCATCTTCGTTGTACAGGCGTCTTTTCGTATTGTTCGTAACATAACAAATATCCGCTTCCGTACTGAACAAATTCATTTCTGAATCTCTTATAAGATCGGTCACAATAGAGATAGAATCTATCAGCATGCTCTTATTTAAGTCATGTTTGTATCGATAGAAGCAAATCTAAAATTGGAAACAAATTATACGAAATAGAAAACCAATGATCCAAGTGGGATACCGAAAAACTCAGCAATTATAACTAACCCAAACTAACTAAGACTACCCAGACACAATCCAGAGCGACAGACCACCAGCTCTGGGAGTCCATAAGAGAGCATTTCCCAAACCTCACCGAAAAAAAAAAAACTAAGACTAACCCAGAATAACACAAACTGAAAACACGTCTTCGGATAAAATAAAAATAAATCGAGTGGAAATGACAATGCTAATACCTATCAAGTATGAGTTTCAAACTTTTTTACAACAAATTAATAGTAAATTGTGCAGAAAATCAACGTATACGAAGATGCCATTATGAAAAATAGTATGAGGTTGAAACATTTATATACAAATGGAAAATAAATTAAAATAATTCTCACCGGATTACACAAAGCTTTCAAATATTCTTGAGCCAGTTGTCGATCAAAAGCGGAATAAATTGCCAAACATTTAAATACTCGCCAATGAATTTCAGGATTATTATGCTGAATAAGCGGCATCAAGAACTCCTGCCTAAAAATAACACAGGCTGCAACGTTAACACTAATTTTAATTGCAAATGTAGCATATTTTATTTTATTTTAGTAGAGCCCTTTTACACGAGGATAGTTTTACCCGGCAACTATTGCTTCGGATATTCGTTTAACATAAAGCCTTATGGAACCATACACCCAGTGATACTTTTCACAATCAGTTTCGGCAACTGAATTTCGATCTGCCGTGAGTTCCAGTCGCTCTGGCAATTTTAAGACTTCCGGGGCCGATTTTCTATGGGCCTTTATGGACCTGTTCGTATATGGACTTGCTAATTATAAGAACCCGGCTACTACTTTGCTGTCTCGCTACGAGTCTGCGATGAGTATCCCGCAATGTAAATGGCATCGGAGATTTCGGTCTGCCACGAATCAGCCGGCAACTGTATCCTCGTGTACAAGAGCTCTTATAGATATTTTAGTACATAAATAAAAATAATACCTGGTAGTTATTAAACAAGACGGCAATTTTTTCATATTGGCATGCCCCAGGATTGCTGCCAGAATATCCAAACACCAACATAAGGTATCTGAATCATCAGCGGTGACACGTATCTGCTGTACCTCCAAATTGTCAGAAAGCAATTTTTCTAAGATTCTTTTGATCTCTTGTAATTTATTTGTTAGGTCTTGAGCTTTTAAAAACTCTTCAGCTTCGATGGCAGCTTCAAGTTCACTTTCTAACATGATCTGTTTTACTTTCAACTCAGACGCCTAGAACAAGTGAAATTTTATTATCGGACATTAGATAACATTCGGTGGATAAGCACATATTTTATCCGGTCTGTCTACGTATTAGAGTACTTCATCTTTGTTTAATCCCACCCATATTAATCAATTTTTGTCACTTGAATAAAAATTTGAATCACCTTAAAAGCTTTCTCTCGTTCTGTATCTTCGTCCGGCGGTTTGTCAACCAAGGGTTGCCAAATGTTTGAAATAATTAGATTTCCTTCAAAAGCAAAAGAATCCACATTAGGTTCCAACTTACTGCCAATTGCGACAAGTTTATTCAAAAGCCGAGACTGTAATCTATGTTTGCTTAATAACGTCTTAATCAATTCTTCCAGTGTTTTCCTACCCACCTAAAAATGAATACAACAGGACAATGTGTAAATCATTCCAATTTCTAAATTTTATTTCATCAAGGCACTATTTGTCTAACACATACTTCATCTGACAAATCATATTTTTCTGCCATATCAAATAAGTGACATAGTATGAACTGAATATTTAAATATTCCCATTCTTCCAAATTCTTGGATAACGTATTGTGTGCGACCCTAAAATAAGAAGGTTTCTTAGATTTAAATAATTTAAATTGAGGATTAGGGTATCCTCGACTAACTCTCACGAAAATACATACCTTGAAATATAGTTACAGAATATTGTTAGATCCGGAATAACCTTATCCAGATACTCTTCTAAATCTTCAGATTGTCGCAGATATTTAACCACGATATTCCAGTAATGAATTAATTCATTCTGTATTAAGTCTTCCGGAATAACTTTAGTATCGTCGAGAGGTAGCGCATCGATTAAATCATTAATTGGTTCAGTTCTAAAAAAAGCCTAGTGTAAATATCAAAATTAAATGTACAACTAAACATGCCTTATTTAATAAATAACCCGTGTAGCTACATTGGTGTAAATTAATGTTGTTTGTAAAGGGATAATAAAATATAACCTACTTGAAAAATACCTCCATAATTTTAGTACTAAGATCCTCTGTATTCGATATATCATTTTCCTCCCCATCTAATTTTATAGATTTCAATACACCCAAATATGATCCGTTGAAGTTGGAAAGCCACGAGGGCAACAAACGTTCCAAAAACATTTTTTTAACAATTGGATTCGTCTCTGCAAAACCACTCCTGAGAATGTGTTGCCTTTGTACAATTTTAAAATATTTAATCCCTGCAAATAATTACCATTCAATTTACAATGCGCCAGCTTGTAATATTTTGTTATGTATTATATATGTTTTATTTATTTGTGCTTCGGTCGCATTGGAAGGAACATAGATAATATTGTGTTTAACAAAGCATTGAAATAAAAAAATACCTATATCCGCTAAGCGACTGAAAGCAGTGCTACGTACTCGAGGGTCATTATCTCTGACCTTTTCTGATAATTTTTCAATGCTTTTTATATTCGGGGCTATCCATCGTACTGCTTCTCGGCGTACCTAGAACAAACACGTTTATACCAGCAATTTATCTTTAAATTAAATATAGTTTAATTTCGTCACTTTTAAATAAATTGAACAAGTTCCTTTCTAAAGGAAACTTCCAGGAAATAGTACGAAAAAGTAAAAAACGTCGATACAAATACATTACTTACCATAGAATTCGAATCGTGCAAGCATGATATAAAAGCGTTAATCACGGGACATTCTCTATTTGATGGGGTTTGAAGCCTTGCAAGTGCTAACACAGCTTGATGTCTTACTAAAGGTTTGATGTCCTAACATAGATTAAATAATACGCTTGTATTAATACTGTGCATAAACAGAAAGTATTATGAATAAAGCATACAATATCTATTCTTCAAAATAAATGATAAACTATCTTAAACCAACCTGTACAGCTTCTAGTAAATTATTCTGAATGGTCTGGCCCAATAAATTTTCCATAGTAACATCATCTCCAATGTTGCGTAAAGTCGACGACCAAAATATACATATATTTTTTTTAACTTGTTGCGGTAGGCAGCCTTTTTGCATCTAAACAAATTATTATACGAACATCAGCAACATCAAGGGTCAAGTATAAAAAAAATTCAGTATGCACTTCAAAGCCAAAAAATCTAATGACAATATGATCTTTGATAATGAAAATGGTAAAGTAGATGGAAACTCCATTGAGACAACGTAAACATTAGACTGCGAATTTAATAAACGAATGTTTTTTATATAGGAACTGTATGCAGGATTTTAATAAACATTCTTTCTACATCTTTTATGCTATAGCATCGTTCTATTGACAGAACTTACCTTGGTAACTTCATATATCAGAAATTTTAACAAATAGGGCTCGAAATCATTCTTGTGGGCCTGATGTTGTACTGTGGTAATATATCCGACAAACTGTCCCAGAAACTCAATTGTGTTTCTAGTATTAGGATTATTACCATCTCCTCTCGAAGCAGCTTTTAAAATGTTTAGATAAACATGGGAGAACTCTGCGAAATCCACCTAGAACATTAGATACGTGTAGTAACGGTACATGATGGGGATTATTGAGGCTTAAAGGGCCTACATACAATTGACACAATTTATCTGAACATTAGACTGATTCACTGGGTCAATTCTCTCTCTGAGAAACAAGTAGCTTAAAGATGTTCAACGGTGTCACAAGTAATCTAGTGTTTGTAAACATTATGAAGAACTGTTTCTATAGATGAAATGTTATATCGGTATTTATTATTATATTATCATATGTATAATATTATCGATATATGATAGACAAGGCTCAAACGGTGTAGTTATCTGAACCTTGTTTTGACCAAACAATAAAGGCAAAGCAGGCATATAGGAGCACTGCTTGTTCCTTGAAGCAATGAAAACATGGACATATATTGCAAGTAGCTTCATAATAGTAGATCATTTGTTTATAGTTAAAATTGATGAAGAGGCTCCTGAAGTATTTGAAAATCTGATTTGAATATTTGTAAGTTATATACTTAACCTAAATATACAGTCTACCTTGTTATATTCCTTTTCCATGAATTTAACATTCTTCAAATGATTTGCAGTCGACGTCTGGGAATTGTCCACTATGTGCACTATTCTTCGTTCCATTTTATATCGGTAATTTATTTAAAAAAAAACTATACATTTGTATTTTCCGCTTTGTTTGTCTCATAAACAGTCAAAAAAGTTTACCCCGTTTACTCGACTAAAGTCTGACGCCAATTGCATTTGAAAAGCGTCGCATTAGTCGATTATATGTATATCTCACTTGTACGTAATGCAATCCTCATGTGAGAGTGAAGAGCGGCGATATAACGTCTAATCAAACTGTTGCCAGATCAGACTTTTTCAAATTAACAGAATGGCCAACAGAAGGATATCACCAACCTAAAATAACTTTTTCCATATTCAGGGTGTTCCAGAAATATACCGACAAACTTTTAAGGGTGGTAGGAAGATCATCAAGATGGTAGAAAAGCCCTTTTGGTAGTGGTTTAGGAAATCCGTGATAATTGGGCTGGAAATCAGGAGCTTTTCTGCAGCTATTGGCTTACGATAATAATAGAGTTCAGATTGTCGTTTATCTCATTCCTAATACTTTTTATTTGAAAATTTAAAGAAATATGCCGTTTTCGGCTAGAATTACATTGTTCTGTTTGGAGAAATATGCTTGGCAAAACAATGAAAATACACAAAATAAACGTCACTGAAGGAATTTTCGCCTGTGATGTTTCTACGTCTATAACTCTGTTTTTTGCTTTATTAGTATTGTCTGGTATTGTTTACTTTGGATTAGCTTGTGTTAGTTTGGGTTCGTTTAGGCGATGCCTCCGTAAGACTCTTACTCTCGTCGTCTAGGATGACGTAACGGAGGCCTAGGTTTAGGTTATCTTAGTTAAAACGCAAAATTTGTTTGCAGTTTAAAAAGCACCGAGTCTCAGTCTCAAAAACTTTGTGTTTTTTACGTTAAAGTACGCTTCAAATTAAGCACTTAGCGAAAAAAAATTCCTGGATGGTAACAAATTAAGTCAAAAATCACTTAACTACAAACTTTTCAAATTCCATTCAAATGAGATTTTCCGGTGATATTTGCTGCTTAAACGTGTTTTAGGTATCAATAATTTATAACTCCACATGCAAAATTGTCGCTAAGATGCATAATAATTGTGTTTTTGCAATTGTTAAGATTTTTTAGTAATTATATATTTTTTGTAATTTGGTAATGACCAAATCCTTTTTGGTAATAGTGTGGAAAATTCGGCGCTTGCAGGAGTTTAAGTTCGCGATTAACAATTGTTCACTTTATAAAAAATCACATTAGAAACTCTTCGAAAAAATTCGCGCATTTGCTAAAAATATCATTTGTTTTCACTTGCTTATTTCCTAAGCACATTTTGTAGGTATTTTAGACTAGTTTCGTCTATTTTTGTTAGTTTGATGACGTGCTTTTTTCTCTTTTCAATAATATTAAACCGCTATTTCCACTAGAACGGGGTTTCACCGATAGTTTGACTAAATATTGGCGATTGCCATTCGTTTGCTATAAAAGAGCTAATTCAAACATATTTCTGGGCCAAAAAGTCGGCGTAGCGTTTTTTCAGAATAATTTCATAAGTTTTTTCTAGGCAGAGAGAAAGTCTTGCTACTTGGTATGTTGGCAATATACCCAAAAATCCGAAAACATAGCAATAATTTACAGGAGGAAAACACTAATACATATCTTTATTTCGAAGACAATCGAAGTTGTTTTTACACCAGAACAATCTTATTAAGCAAAATCTAACTATGTAATGTTGAAAAATTGGATGAAAAGAATTAACATTTGAATAATAAAACCATCCTTATATTGAGAATACACGAACCGTTTAATTTAGAGTGTAATTTAGAAGATAGCTCTAATTAGCACATGAAAAGTTTCCTTAATTGACGATCTATATACCACACGTACCTAAAAAGAGAATAATAAATATAAAACAAATAACTTCAATATCATATGAAATATGGACGATTCAAGGCTATAAGGAAAAGGTCTTACTTTACTAAACAGAGACATTTTACAGAGTTACTTGGTGTACCAGAAAGAATTGCATGTTGGGATAATAATTAGCTCAAAACCGGACCGGGGGTGCTTGAAATTAAAACATAGAAATATATACGTACATCAGATTCCTCTATGCATCTGATGATACTGAAAGTTTCAAGGTTCTTCAAAATAAAGATTGTTATTAAATTTTTTGGTGATAACTTTGACACTCGAATCGGTATTTTTCAAACCCACCACTTCCCGGTTAGAAAAATTTTGCTAATTCAGCATGTTTCCACTCGAATCATCTGCGATAGAATTTTGTACAGGAATTTGCCAGACACCCTGTACAGGGTGTCCCGTAAGCTCATGATCAAAAGGATACTGCGATATTCTTTGGACCAAAAGAAGACGATCTGACCTAATTTTTATTAACAAAAAATGTCTGGCTCCTCTGCTATTGATGGTCAGTTCTTCAAAAAAATTATCTTTTTTGAAATATCGGGAGAATCGTACGATGTATTTTAGTGAAACTCATATTTTGACATATTTGACTCATATCAGTAAGACTCATATTTTGATGAAACAATCGAGTTCAGCCGTTTTGGACAAGTGGTGAATTCTTGAGTGTCGTGGTACAAAAACTACCAGAACTTTTTAGTTGGAGGATGAAATCAACTCATTTTTCTTTAGGTTGATGCACTAATCATTTGTTCACAATTTTGTGCTCTCTGTAAAATCTTGTAGCATTCACAGTTTTTGCGTAAAAAAAATATGTCTGTTTTGTAGCCACTTAACAATGCTAGACATTAACTGCAAATATGCACCGCGTAAACGCGTACGCTTTCACGCAAATTGTCTTTGCAATACTCTAATACTTTGACCATGTCGGTCACTTCTTCATTAGAAAAGGTCATTCAAAACAAATTTGTGAGATTGATTGATAATGATTTTATGCCTCGTATCACGATATTTACAGTTAATGTCTAACATTGTTAAGTGGCAAGAAAACAGAAATATTTTTTTTCGCAAAAACTATGAATGAAACATCAACCTAAAAAAAAATGAGTTGGTTTCATCCTCCAACTAAAAAGTTCTGGTAGTTTTTGTACCACGGCACTCAAGAATTCACCACTTGTCCAAAACGGCTGAGCTCGATTGTTTCATCAAAATATGAGTTACATAAAAATAAATTCACAGCCAGTTACACTAAAATACATCGTACGATTCTCCCGATATTTCAAAAAAGATCATTTTTTTGAAGAACTTTGACCATCAATAACAGATGAGCCAGACATTTTTTGTTAATAAAAGTTAGGTCAGATGGTCTTCTTTTGGTCCAGAGAATATCGCGGTACCCTTCTGATCATGAGATTACGGGACACCCTGTATATCTGGTCTGATTGACACATTAAAAGAATATTACTTTGAATCATCCGTATACATATATGATTATCTATAAAAAGAAAACAATAGAAATTGACAAATATGTAGAATTCCTAGCTTGGGACAAGCAAAATATCAAAAGCGTTACGAAATTTTCTGGCACCTGTTTGTTCTCCAGGAACAGCTAATAATAGCTAGCCTGGATAATATTCGCATGTTGGCCCAGTATACCGGTTTTTCCCTTATAATGCACACCAATAATTTAGAATACACCATGACCGATCAACAATTCGTGCTTAAGTGGCATTATCATGAAACAACTTTGCTACAAAACCTGCCCTACTTACTGGAAAACGATATATTAAGCGACGTTACGTTATCGGTGGGTGCCCAACATATTAAGGCTCACAAAATAATACTTGCTATGTGCAGTGTGTATTTTCTCCAGCTTTTTCAGGCAAGTTTAATGGTGAAATGGAAAAAATACTTTGTTCTGCTAAAAATATTTATCAGCTGTGCCAAACATTTTTATACTGTCTCTCCAGATTTTACTACTGAGATATTTACTAATACAACGAGATGCTCTATTAATACATTTTTTTGCTTACCATCTATCCAGCTACAATTGATAAATATTTACCGGTGGGCCCTTACCTTTACACCTCTATTTTAAAAATTTCCTAGATTTGCGTGTGTTTATTTATAAACCAAGAGGTATTTCCTGATACTTCCTCCATTTCGTTTGTTGACCCATTCAGACGAAATAACGAAAATATGTCGCGATTTATTTTCCACTTGGATTTATTCAATATCAAGTCACTAAATCAATTCAATTTAATTAATTTAGTTTGATATCATTGTTAAAACTAAATTTAGGAACCTCTTTGTCTTGTCTCATTTGAATAAGCGACTTTAAAAAACAAATAGTTTTCAACCAATTGCAAAACTCCATTTATAGTATAAATTTAATTAAGTTATATATTTAAGTTTTATTCATTTTTTACCTTTAAAATACCGATAAAAATTAAATAGCTTATTAAAAATTAGTGCGGCCGCTGGAAATTGTCGAGTTAGTTTCATGACTAAAAACTTGTATGAATATTTTACGTTTTACAGAGTGCAGATACATTTTAAAATCAAATAAGCCGCCTTATGTATAGGATGTCCAGTCCATGCCAACGATCTTTTGTCCTGCCAAATTAGAAACTTTATGCAAAAAGTTAAGGGCGAAATTGACTATTTGCCAGCACAATAAACTATTTTTTTCCATCAAAGCCGAATAACTAAAAAACCATTCAATTTTCGCCCATATTTAATGAAACAAAAAATTACTATAATTTACAATAAAATTCAAAAGTTAAATTAAATATGGAGTGGTCCATTAAGAAAATACATTTTCTCTACTTTACGTTTTGCCCTATTTCAATTGAAAATAAATAAAACCGGTAAAGCGTAAAATTACTTTACGCTATCGTTGGAAGACCTTGTACATGCGTAAATAGACATATAGATTTTTTCGTTTTGTATTCCCAAGTATACCATTCTTATATTAAAACGTTCTATCGTGCGGGCATCATTAGGACTTTTCGGTTCTATCATTAGTACTTTTAAAGGAGCCTAGAAAGCAATAAAACGATACTGAAAAACCACATTTGAACAATTTTTTTCATCAACCTGCTAACGATTTTTCTTAGTAGGTACGATGGAAATCCTGATAATGGCTGAAAGGTTGAAAGCGCTATGCTAAGAATTTGTAAATGAAAATTGCACAGTTACAAATACGAATCTAACAACATTTCTTCTTTTTTGAGGGTGTGTAGGTTTCTTTGATAATTTATATACCACTTTTACCCTCGTTGATTAGTAATTTTAGTATCTTTTAGCCAGCGAATTAGCAAATGAGATTAATTTTTTTCTTCTCAATAACGATCGCCGTTTTAAAAAAGCTTCTAAAACGAAAAGGTTTATTAATAAAAAGAAAAACCGTATTGTACATATTGTAGCGTTGCATCGCAAATTGTCGGGCATCACCAGGCGATCATTTTCTGTGGGATTAAAATATATACCTACATATTTTGAAGCAGTGAAAAAATAGGCATAACTCTTTATAAAATGGCGAAAATAGCGCCTTGAAATATCTACTTATGTAAAAAATAAGTGTCAAAAGCCTTTATATAGTTTACATTAAATATCATACAAGTTATAACATTACAAACTATTAATCCTCGAATGTCTTGCAAATTTGGTCAAAGATTAGCTAATATTCTCCAAATGCACTTTCACAATTTTTCAATAAACTTGCTTTATTAAAGCATTATGCAAAAAATGTTGCTTTTAAATAAAGTAATGAAGAGATATCTTATGTTTTTACATAAAAATAAATAATTAAACTAAAAACTGCATCTTATTAGCATATTTAGGGTGTTCTTATAATAGATTTATCGAGATTCACTGTAAGTGAAAAAATAAAAATTAATTAATCGTAAATTTAAACGGCTGCACTAAAAAAAAATTGTGTAAAAAAAATGACTTAATCTCATTTTGAGGAGGAAATTGCGAAAGAAGTTATTATATCCTTTCGAAAATTGGGGTACTCAAAATAAGAGGAAGCCATAAAATAAATTGCCTGTTTAAAAATTATATCTATTTCAAACACAATTTAAAAAATATACCTCCTTAAACTAGAAAAAGGACTTTTATCTTATCTCTTTTGTCTCTCTGCATGCTTTATTAGTTTTGAACACTCGCTTCAAGATAAACTGTATCTTCATTCAAACCGGAATTTCATAAATGTTTACGAAAAGTAAGATTATATGGTAAAGGTATGGTGGTAAATTAGGAATTTATATTTTCAAAATTTTCATCAATTTGGTATCAAAATTTTTTACCAAATTTTTCAAAAATTACCTTACTTTTGGGTAAACCATAAAAAGGAAGACAATCACCTCCACCGACTGACCAAAAACGATACTTAGACGTTTCCACGTAGTGGTGTTTTTATATAAAAATTTAGTAAACGTACCTTAAAGATAACAAAATTATTTAATATTCCGTATTTTAGGAGTTAAAAAACACTCAACATCCAGTTGTAGTGTTGCACAATGCCAGTATGGAAGATGTACGAGCAATGTTAGCCTTTATGTACCGCGGTCAATGTGTTGTATCAGAGGATCAGCTGCCTAATTTGCTATCTATTGCTAAGCTGTTGAAAATTCAAGGGCTTTGTGACATGAAAGTATGTATAGTTATAGCAAGACATAATTTTTTTGATGCTAATGATTTTCGCTTTTAGGCCCCCGAGAAACGACCAGCTACTGAAACCATTCCATTAATGCACGCCAGAGATTCGAGATACCCCATCGAATCGAAACTTAACCCCTCAAATCAAGCAATATGTGATAAAGAGACCAGCGAAAAAAAGATATGCGAAAGTCCATCCTGTATACCAAACACGATTTCGCTTAGAAGACATAGCGGAAACGGTGGTTACAGTACAGCAATCAACTTATCAATAGATAGCACGACAGTCAGACTGCCTGATTCACCTACGTGGGAAAAACCTTTACGAGGTAAATTCAAATAAGTAAATTAAATTGGAAATAACTCAATAATGTCTAAATCAGTTTGAGTGACCCGCAATTAGTGACCGAATTCTACTATCAAAAATCAAACAAAACGTTCATATAAGGATAGAAGGTGTGAACAGTTTTTTTTTCATCTTTTTCTCTGAAGCTCAACGTTTTTGAGACATTTTCCCCAAGTTTTCAATTATAGCTGACTTAGTACGGAATACGGTTTTCACTCTAATCTAATATCTATTAGTCTATTTATTATTAAATAGACTGCAAATTTTTGTAGGTTTATAGTCACGTTTTTGACGTCAAGCGCTTTTGTGATTTTATTTCTATAAATTGCTATTCAATTTGTAATTTTTTTCCTTCTGCATTATTTTATTAGTGCCATCGTCTTTGAGTAATATTTTGATGTTGGGTGTGATGTTTGATTAATAAGGAAACAAATAATAAAAATAATTTTGAAACAAGAAATACAACGGCGAAATTAAACAGTTAATAAATATTAATTAAATAGTAAATTTAAATTAAACCTAATTAAAATGCGAATGTTAAACAAAGTTATTATGTTCTTAAAACACTCTGCATCTCGTGGACTTATTTCTTATCTTTACATGAACTTTGTGGTGCAAAAATATGCGTTTAAAGTTATGGGCCAATCTGAATTTCACATAAAAACCAACTAAAGTTAGCAGGTTTTTTCAAATAAAGTATCGTAAGTAACTAACTACTGAAATATTTCCACAACTTAATTTAACGCAAACAAAATGAAAATTCGAACCCAAACATCAAAAAGATTATCTTTTCATTACCTAATCAAATCATAGTAAGCCTCCACTAAAATATAATTTATTTTATTTATAGTTCAACCAGATAATACAAGTCCATGCTCTACTGAGGACACGATTCCCACATATCCAACAACTGCCGTAAGAAAACAAGCAAGTCCGAAAGACTCATCAGAGACTTGCAAATGTTTTCTATGTGGGAAATACCTGAGTAACCAGTATAACTTAAGGGTACACATGGAAACGCATGAAGAAGCTTATCATGCTTGTGCATCGTGTCCTCATGTGTCTCGAAGCCGAGACGCACTACGAAAGCATGTATCTTATCGACATCCCGAAGAGTATCTTACGAGAAAACGAAAAAAGACAGATAGCTCTTAGACCAATGCAGCGGGTAATATTTGAAACCTTTTTTAGAAAGCCTCATTTTTTGAGGTATTTGCTGAATCCAGTTTTCACCAATGTGTAACAGAGACACCTTCAATATTCGACTGAAGATTCAATATTCGGATGCAGCTTAAATTTTTGCCAAAAAATTTGCAGAACGTTCTGTCAAAGAGCAGAAAAGAGACGACGAACAGCTAGACTGTAATTTACAAATACAACCATTTTAGTTCTTAGTGCTAACTGAAGTTTTAATGGCAAGAAAAATCCTGTACATCGTCTCGAAACAGTAGAAAATTAGCTCGAAATCTGACCAAAAAGATACTATTCCTCCATTTCACTATGCATTTATAATCCTTTTATAATCCTAAAGGAACCAAAACACTGACACTCAGGTTCAAGAATGAAAATACACCATTTAAAAGTATATTATTTTTATATTTCACAAATAAAGTAATACTTTGTCATACATAAATGATTAAAGCTCTATGTTGCATCATCGATAAACAATCCACAAACCATACAAACGCGATTAAATATATGTCACCCTCATCATAATACATTGTTAGATAAAATAGGCCTTAATTGTATCTGCATAACCTTAGACGACTTGAAGAACTGAGCAGAAAGAGCATTAACAGCAAAATTTATGACTAGTAGGAATATGAGCAGTCATTTCTCAAAGTTGTTGATGCATGTTATAACGAAGTTATGCCAGATATATAAATAATACAAAAAAATACTACAGAGCGCTCAAAGCATGCCGTTGTGTATTTAACTACTGAAATCGGATGATAAATAAATATAAATAAAATATGCAACAAGAATTAGTAGAAACATACAAAAATCACATGGGCGTTAAATGCAAAGGCGACTAAGTACGAAAATAATTTAAATTTGAAATTACCAGAATTACAAATTTTGTATAAACATAGAGCATATTAGAATGGCGTTATAGTCCATAGTTTGGTGTTACAATCCTGTCCCACGGAAACGACAGTTGTATTATCCACCCAAGATAATTTGGTAACTTGACTTTGAGCGTGGGCGTCTAAAAAGGGAAAATTATCGATGAATTCTCGGAAGATAATAAAACAAACATTTTGCGATTGACAAAGAAACGTTCCTTCACTTAGTTGTCTCGGTAATAATTCATATCGGGTATACAGAATCAAGCATAATTCAAAGGTGTTTTAAACAGATACTTACTTTTAATAATAATATGTTTGGCAGGTTTTTCCACAGACCAAATGATGATACTCGTATCCAGTGATCCACTTGCAACCAGCAAGGAATCGGGAGACCAAGCAACACAGTTTACTCTAGCATTATGGAATCCCCATTCTTGCTTTGTTGCTGGCTGTGGTAAAAAGAATATAGCTGATATTTCGCAATAAATAACTGATATAAAATTATTTAATTGTGGTGTGAAAAATATGCTTTGAACAAGGCAAAATTTGGGACATATCATTTCCAAAACTCTCTCAATGAAGAATTAATTAGAGTAGCATAAAAACAAGTACACAGAATAAAATCGAATCTAAATACATCTGAATAATTGAATTGAATAACATAGCTAGGTCGGGTATCTCCAATAAACAAGCCGCCGTTCCTATTATATTTGTGTTAATGTAAATACATTTAAACACTACCGGCGGTGTTGATCCTATATTTTACATTTTGTCAATTTTTCGTATTTTGCTTTTAACAGCTGAAAACAAAACAAACGTTTGAGAAACCCAATCAATGCTTTTCGAAACTGTTAAGACGGAAACTAAAATGTTAGAAAACTTCCAAAAACTTGTCGATACTCCTTTATGTTATGCATAGCAAAAAAAATTAGAAAGTTTTTAAAATGTTAAAGCCCTGACCCCCAAAAACAAAACATCTTCATATTTTGTCCATGTTTTGTGTTATATTCCTACTGTGTTATGACACAAAACCAGAACAAAGAAATATTGAGCGAAATAAGTTGATTGGAGATATTTCAAGCAAACGATACTTCAATCCACAGACAAATATTCAATGCATACAATTCCACCTTTATAACTGTAATTGCTGAATAGAAACTTAAATATACAATACTTACAATCTGATCCGGCAAGCAATAAAACACAATTTATTAGATTTTATAACTAACATGTTATTGTGTGTTTAGAATTGGCTTTTAGGAAAGCAGTTTTAATTTTAAAGGAAAAAATTAAACGGACATATCTTGGGTTTAAAGCTAAAAGTGACCAAGTCCGAAATTACCGTATATGTGTTTGTTGACCAAGTAATTTAAAAAATAATATATTTGCGTTCAAAGCCACACAAATAGGCGCACTAAAATATGATTTTAATGACTAAGTTTCTAAAAGGATTCTGATAGAATTTAGTCAGTTTCTTTTGTCTAAAGAAAAATTCAGATTAGAGCATCCAGAAAAGCTTTTAAAAATATTTAATTTTGTGTGTATTAAACGAACATCCGGTTGGAAGCCAGATGTTCCAAAAATTTTAACCAGAACAGCCTCTTTTAGTTTCGGTCTCAAACTGAAGTTTATCTAATATGAAACTCACCTTGTATTCTTCAATTTCGTACATAATAACTTTCCTGTTGGCATCACAAGCGACCAAATACTTGTCATCTGGAGAATATGCAACGTCGGTGACTGGGCCCAAATGATCCAACTCCCGCAAGAGGTTTAAATTATCCCCGTTCAGTTCATAAATATGGACCTGTGCGGAAAGAAGAAAATTAGCGCTTATAATGTGTACGTCGATATTGAAATTACCTTGTTGTCCACAGATCCCCCAATAGCAATATGTCCTCGAAGTGAACAGCTCACGCTCGTTGGCTCGTAGCTGACTTTCAGAGTACTAAGTTTTCTATTGTCTTTCGCAACAGTAATTTCATTTATACTGGCAACTACAACTATGTTTTGCTCCTTCAAAATATCCATACCTCTGGGCTGGGAACTCAATTTTAAATCTTGAGGTCTATAAGCATTTCCTATAAGAACAATTTATTAAGAATTCCGGGTTTAAAGAAAAAAAAAACAGAATAATTTTATCATGGCAGCCAAAAAAGGCGACGATTAATGAACCCGATATTTTTAAAAGTAGATGCAATATTTACCCAAATAGAATTTATTCTGGAGAAATAAGCATGGAATAACACAAACATATCGATGTATCTTACCTTCGATATCGACCTGCTTCAAACTGTCATCAATTCCCACTGTGTAAAGAGTACCATCGTGGACCCGCATGGTGTTTATTTGGTTTCCATGCCCAGCCCCATCAATCTATAACAATAACATGTTGATAAAATCGTAGGAAATTGAAAGAAACAAAGTATATTGCAGATAGACCCAACCTTTATCGGGAGAACAAAGACGCAACAAAAACATTCAAAAAGGTGTGCTAATAGCAAAAGTAATTTAAAATATAACGGAATTCTGAACAAACCTTTTCGTTTTCTCCTGTTTCTGTATTCCACTTAGTAACAATACCATCATGAGATCCAGTAAATATGGTGTTTCTGTCGTCACTCAGCGTGAGAACAGTAATGGGTTTATTGTGGCCTTTAACTATTCTTAGTGGTTTCTCAGGATTGTTCACGTCCAAATAGTTGATAAACCCACTAAGTGACACCGACAGAAGATATTCATTTTGCCATAAGCAGGATACCTGTTAGCAAATTTTTATCTTCCACATTGCACGTTTTTCAATATTTTACCAAACACTTACCTGTTGATCTTCGACAGTACTTCCTAGTTTAAATTCCGATACAACTTCTCGGGATTCCACGTCCCAGAGTTTGGCTGTTTTATCGCCGCTGGTAGTTAGAAGTTGTTTTCCATCTGGACTCCAAGCCACTCCATAAACTCCTCCAGCATGTACGGGGCTTCCAACCTCGCCCACCAAATCTGAGGAGGCTCCATCGTAAAGGAAAACTTTACCATCGAAACCGGCCGAAGCGAAAAGATTTCCAGATGGCGAGTAACGTACGGCTTGAACAAAACGCGAATGGTCCTGAAAAAGAAAATAAATACATTTGCTGAAAAATTATTTATTTTAACAACATTTAAGACGGGACCCTAACTAACGTTTATGCCCAAGATATCTAGTTTAAGGCAAGTTTTCCATTTCACAGATATATTAGCAAAAATAATGACAAACTAAACTAAATCAGTCAGCAATACAGTCCTTATGATTCTCCATTAACCATATTGGGTTTTCAATCATTTACACATTTTCGAAGTAAGTATTGCATTTAATATCTGCTAATGTAATAAGATCAACACGACGCACTATATAAAATTAGACACATTTACTTAATCTATTAATACATCTACAACTATGTGTAGGTGTTCCCAAATATATTTGAGCACATTTGAATCGATGCAAGATATTACAGAAACTGTTTATTAGATAAAATCATTAAATCATGACAAGGGAATGAGCACACAGAACCTTTGTTAATGAAATTCACGCACTTAGTCATCATTTGTCACTAATACAAAAATAAATATTATTCATTTTTATCCATATATGATTATGTCAAGACAAATTTAATATCGGATTTCAGATAAGTAATAATGATAATGAATTTGAGTGGAGTATATAAATATATTTAATTTCCGTGTAACGGTATAGGCAATCATGCTTGATGAGACCAGCAAAGAGTGCATAATCTGACTACGACAATACAAATAGCAATTCAGCACTTTAAGTGGCGCGTTAAGGATACAAAAAACGAAGTGTTTGTCCCAGTCGTATCAATCCAGATTAACTGTATTTGTGTGCTTTGGCTTTGGATGAAGTATTAACTAAGCAATGAATAAACGGGCATATTGTTTTAATTTCCATTTATGCATGCATCAATTCATAGTGCTCGCTTTATTATCAATCTAAATCTAATAATTACGTACTTGTTTCGTCATCTTGAATTTGAATGGTGGTCCTTCAAATACAGCAATAGTATTATCTTCACTGCCAGTGACAATCCTGAAAGGTCTAGTTGGGCGAAAGTCGCACGAATTAATTGGTTTCGACTGTCCTGAAATTTCGCCCACTGAGGTTCCAGTTTCCGACATGAAAACATGTCCAAACCTTTCGCGCCCTTCGCCCACTACCACCATTCGTTGGTTATCAGGCGACCAAGCAATGTCCTTAATAGGACCGCCGAATGGATGGAACTCATTTTTCAAAATATGTTCCTTGTTGACCGTGTCCCAAATACGGACTTTGCCAGATTGGTCTTAAAGAAATATCATGAGAATTAGTATTTCTTGCGAAAATATTTGAAACTTCTTAGTTGTCGTATATGGCACTCTTTCAATTAATGTCTTTCTTTGTAAAATCCATTACGTTAAAGAAAACCAAAAGTTGTTGCTTGATTTAATTTTGAAGTCCACTATTTAAAATGTTCAAGCGGATAAGACCAATAGAAAAATAGAAATCAGAAAGAAATATACCCAAAAAATTATTTTCAAACAGGCAGATTTTCCATTATACCAATTTCCAATTACATGTTTGCCAACAGTTTTGGGAGTTGAGAAATCAAATTTTATGAGCGGTAAGCCTTCAACGTCCATAGCACACATTTTTTGGCACAAACGGATCCGAAATTTTAGGTAAAACAGGACGGGACTTTATAATCACAAAGTGTTGAAATGTAATGAAACAGCAAATATATAAACTTTTGTGGAGATTCATAGCCAAATGAGACGCATCTGTATGCATCAGTTGAAGAAAACATTTGCATGTTACTGCATTTTTTATCATTATATTTCTTCTCAAATGTTTTGTTGTTCTCATTTAGAAAAAATGGGTTTTACGCCTTATAAACTATGTTCGAAAAAAAAGTGTGCTTAAAGCTGGAGGAAAAAAACAAACTTATAAATTTATCAGCATTCGGAGGAGCATACTGCAAAAGAAAATTATATTTTTTGGTTTTGCCTATGGACTCCGTTCTATTACCAAACTGAATATTTTTTATCAGCAAATCGAAACACGACTGTTCTTTTTATTAATTTATGTTAATTTCTACCATTATAAAACATAGGTACTTTTCAGTATAAAAAGTAGGTAGAATATGTTTTTTTATGGTTGCAATAAAGTCATTAGTTACACGATATCGAAAATGCATTGAGGTGGGTAAACTATAATACATTTTGAGGAATGAATTTTACTTTCATTTTTCACTAATTAAAGGGTTTTTAAAGCTCATTTCGATGATTTTTACTCGCAAAACCTGATTTGTACAGAAACATGGAATTGAATCTGTTTTTCTTCCATACTGAAGAAATGAAGAAATAAACCAATAATTAATTTTATTTTATGAAATAACAAAATTAATAATATCATGTATTTCTCTCTGCATTCGAATTTCAGTCAATTAATTGCCAGACCCTGAAGCTGATAATATTCTAATATTTTAAACATAATTCATATTAATAATAATAATAATAATATCAAAGATGAATAAAATTGTCATAAACTTTGTAAGTGAAATGAACAACTTACAAAACACTTCGAAACAGTGTTTGCTTTTAAATCTGACTGGGTCAACGAATAATTTTCATTCTTATATTTAGGGAAAAATATGGTTGATGTATAAAGTATAATATTAATTGATATCAAAGTGATGTTAAATTTTATGCAATTATTTTCTCTAAAATAAAATATAAAACCAGTTGAGGGGAATTTAACGTGGAGTTCGCATATGCACTAAAAATTATGAAATTTCTTTAAAAATTATTAATCTTGTCACATTAATTAAATATAAAAAAGTATAGAACTTTTGTTCTTAATATTTTTTTTCAAATTTCAAATTAGATATAAAAACGGGATGGCCAAAGTTCAATCAATAATCCTGTATGTACTCTATATAGCAATAGATTTACTGATGATACTTAAATGAAGGTTTCCAGTCAGTACTTATTAAGTATATAAAAACAATTTCGTTTATGATCCATTTCTTCAATTGTGAGTCATTAAATATTTGCATTTGATGTATTCGAAAGCAATTACGAATACTAATTTTCTTCAGAATTCCTAAAATCGCATTGAAAAATAGAGTTGACTTAATTATAAACAACTATTTAAAAACATCCTATAAACAAGTGTCCAGTAAATTTTTAAACGTGCAATTACACTTACCTCCAGATGCAATGTAAAATCCACTGGGTGAATACTTTGCAACATTTACGGGGCAAGAATGTTCAGTGTAAACGTCAGCAATGGCAGGATTCTAGAAAAAAAACCACAGTAAATTTAAGTAGTTGAACGAATGAAAATAACTTGCTAAAACTACAAATGTAGATGAATTATGGGTAACATAATGAAACAGTACATGCTTACAGCAATATTCCTTATAATAACGGAATTTCCGTTTGTGTACAGGAAATTTTTCCCCTTAGGATCTCCACCCAAAACAAGTGGTTGACCTCTTTGAGTTTTGGGAAGAGTAGCGTAAATACTTTCTAGAAATCAAATGGGGAATTTGTTACATTATACGAAAGCAAAGTTTTGGATTTAAAACAACTTACTACAAGCGTAGGACATGACTTCTGGACCACAAATATCCTTTCTAAATAAAGCGGTTAATCAATCAACTTAACCTTGGGACTTGGGCAACAGTAAATTCAATGTTCAAACTGAAAGTAATGAAACTGATTTTGGACACAGTTCACACACTTGCACCCAATTTACTTACTGCAAATATCTGCTTTATCTCCTCAAATTTATTTCCTGCAATGTAGCGGTTATGTTTTCCTTATAAGGAAATGTCAGGGAGTTTTGTCACTTGAAGTGCCACGAAGTTAGGCTGATCATAAGGTCATTGGTCATCGCTTTTCGTTTGCACCTTATGTTGGATTCGACGAGCGCCAATCGTGTTTTCTCATTCTCTCGCACAGGACATTGCAGGATCGTACTAGTAGTTGACGATGATTATCCAGCTCATACACACAACTTTGGGGCTAACTTCGGGTGTATTTATGTACGACAGCTGTTTAGGTTAGTTTTGAAATTTTGCTTCAAAATTCTTTGTAATTCTACAAAATATGGACATAAATTCCCAAGACCAAATCGACCTGTACATTAGAGGATATGCATCATTCAATCATGACGTCGTTTTATTTGATTTTGGCGAAGTTATCGCGATGAAAAATTACAAAGAAAATGATAAAGTAAGAGTAGTGTCTGGAGGCTCTTCCTGCCACACCGAGTATGTAGGGGCTGGGATGTTAACGGCTGCAGTTCAAGGTACATCCTTCAACAGAATTGTGCACCCCGAATTGTGCCCTACACAAACTTTTCAGGAAAGGGTACAGATCCTCCTACCCCAAGTGTGGTTTTAAGAACTTTGAGGGAACTCAGTGTTAACCACGTCAAAGGGATTCTTGTTACAGTTCAAGCAACCTCTACAGATTTATTGAACTTTGGCCTGGCAGTAGAGCGTGCTGAAAATGATGATTTGCATGTAGCCCTTTTAGGCGTATCCGATGACTGTCGCAACAACATATACCCCAGAAGTGGAAGGAGAGGCTTAACTGGTATTGTTCTAGTCAATAAAATTGCTGGAGCCCTGGCAGTGAGAAATAAGTCTATGACAGAAATATATAGTTACTGTTCTAAAGTGAATGAGCACATTATTAGCATTGGAACGAATATAAAGAAAATGTTAATATCCTCGAGGGATTGCCTATATTGCGACAAATGTGCCACTGACTTGGATAGTGGAGGACGACGAAAAACGAGCTTAAAGAAATTGTCAATAATGGATATTTTAGATGAAACAGTGCAACATTTACTACTGGAAATTAGCTCAAATAAAACGCTAAATTTAGTATCAGGAGAAAGTGTAGTGGTGTTAGTGAACAATTTGGGAGCTTTAGGTCAACATGAAGAGTACATATTTTTTAGACATTCACTAAAGTTTCTAAGTGGTCTGGAATTGCAAGTGGTTCGATTTTATATAGGGACTTATTTACATTTGAAGTGCGATGTGGACTTAACGGTGACTATTTTGAAAGTGTTTGATAAGGATCTGGTAGATCTTTTGGATGACCCATGTGCTGCCACAGGTAATTTGCTTTTATTATTATAGAAAAAAAATGTTTCTTGATAATTTGCAATATTTATTTAAGTAGGTAGTTACTTACTACTTGATCAAATTAGTAATACCTAAGTAATAATGCGATCGCAAAAGCTGAGCTTTTGCTATCAAATTGCTATTCGAGACTTTTTAAATACTTATACATTAACATAAATTATATACAGGGTGTCTTAGAAATAAGTAGATATTGTAAATTCAGGGGTAAATAAACCTTTCCCAAATTAAAAAAAAAATACAAAGATACATGGGCAAAATATACATGGGCAACAGCTTAGTAGTGAAAATACGGGGCGTCTAACTTTACCTTAAAAAATACAAAAACATTAATTTCTGCATAGCGGTTTGATAAATTTTAATTAAACTTTGTGGGTAATGAAGGCTGTAAGATCTGCTTATTCTAAATAATGAATTTTTTAAAATTTTACCAGTGGCGTAAATTTGAACACGATTGGTTTTTTCAAGAATAAAAAATACATTTTAATTAACTGTTCAATTCTGAAGAACAAAGTACTCTTTTATTTTTGTCGTACGACGCACCGTTTCCCGGTATAAAAAGATTTTGATGATGAAATTTCACAATACCAATGAGGTAAAGCGAAGAACTAAATACTTAGTTTATTTTAAGAATTACCTAATATTTTAACAGACTTAATATGTATTTATAATAGTTGCTGAAAATGATTGCCACTGACATCAATACATTTCTGAGCCCTATTTAGCAGCGCCAATGGATTATTTTGTAGCTTGTCCCTAGATTATTTTCATCATAAAAGTGTTTTTTTACCGGAAAATGGAAATAAAAGAGTGTTTTTTCTTCAGGGTTGAACATTTAATTAAATTTATTTTTTATTCTTCAAAGGATCAGTAGCATACGATAGGTATTTTCTTCAAAAATACCCAATAACATAGCGGCATCCACGCCACTTGAAAAACTACAAGAAATAAAATAACTGAAAAGAAGCACCTCATCTAGGCTTTACTACCTTTTTTCTACCAGTTTTATCAAATTCTTTAAACTCGTTTGGCAGAAATTTCTACTTTTCAAAGTAAACTGTGACGCCCCGCGTTTCACAACGAAACTTTTGCGGGTCTATTATTGGATGTTTTTCATATTTGGTCAAGGTCTATTTTCCCTGAATTTACGGTAGGTACTTATTTCTGTGACACTGTATATTCAGTAGAGATAAAAGTTTCGAATCTTTTGTTAACCGTCCGGTAGTAAAATGCTGATAAACTTGTTTTTCATAAAAAATTATAGGTACTTAAATTTAGCTCTAACTTGTTCAACATTTGGATTCAAAAAAGTTCAAAAATTCTACTATTACCATTATTTCAGTTCTAGTTTTCTAGAATTTTAGTATATTCGTTATTTATTCGTTCCTGCAAAGGTCACTGCATTATTTTAAGCTTCAAACCATTCTACTATTTTCCTACACTTAAGTAGTAATATAAATATTCAACATAAGAACTAAACCACCTCATGTATTCATAATTTTCACAGTTTGATTTATAGGATGGAAGCCGGTTTTTCAAAGGGAAACCATTTCTATATCCGAGAATATAATCCCTGGCAGCTTAAGGAAAAAGTGTAGACTGTCACCACCAGTTAAGGGGCCCAAACTACAAGACCGAGCGGCTAATATTTTGCAACTTTGTCTTCAGTTTGCTTGTGATGCTTTAATATCATGCGAAAAAATGCTGAATAAGATGGATAGCGAACAAGGTAGGGTTTATCTACATTTTGCTTTAAGTTTTCGAACAGCAAGGATTTTTTGAGGAGCCTGTCATTAGCATGGAGCTAAAATTGAGTCGAGTAAAATATTATCTAATATTTAAGTAGTTTATTACGCATTTCAACTTAAAAGTTTCCTAATATCTATTAAATATAGAAACGTTGGCACTATTTCAAATGGATGTTGATTTGTTTCAGGTGACGGCGATACTGGCACCAGGTTGCGAGTTATGGCAGAAGTTTTAAACAAAAGAGCATGCAACAACAAGCTAAACGCCGTCTACCCATTTACATTTTTCCTTTCCTTGAGTAAATTGTTGGAGAAATCAATTGGAGGCACCATGGGTTGTCTGTATTCAATTATTTTCGAGGCTGCAGCAAAAACATTTGGACAGTATTCGGAAGAAGACAACGTGCAAGCGGAAATGTGGCTGAAAGCATTAGAAAATGCCAGTTTAGCCATAAAGAAGTAAGTTGGTTATCTGAGTTTGAAACCAAAGGTAGACAAATATTTAAATTTTTTTCTTTGTGCATATTGAGTCCGTATCAGAAGCACCTGTGAACAAAAACGTCCGCAGGTATAGCTGTACATTTTGGTGCTGAACAATATGTAATGGAATAATTATATTAGAATTTAAAATAAAAATATATTTAAAACATTTCCATTACTTTCGGATATATCCAAAACATTCAAAGCCGCTGTCTTATGTTACTGTTCCATTCTGTGAATATAATACTTGCATATTTCAGATACAGAGACTTGTTTTCTAAAAATCGTCATCAGCTTAAGGTGTTTGAATGCGGATCTCGAATAGAATTTAAAATTATTCATTCAGACTTCAGAAAATAAATAATACTCTTGCCTCTTTCTTAACTGTGAATACATTATAATAATATAAAATAAAAAACACGAATTATTTGAGAATTTTAACGTTTTAAAACCAATTAAACAAAGGTAACATTTTCAGCTCAATTAAAGAACACATTATTACAGGGATAATCCTCAAATTAAATTTTACATCCTTTTCTTATTGTTTTTGCTAACGTCATTCTACCAATTAACACACCTTTAAATTAACCTGGTCAATAAAAACTTAAGAAAGAATAATTCAATTACATTAATTTATTTTAGTTGTCAAAAATTTGAAAGCCTCTTTTTAAACGAGTTTTCAACCTAAGTTTATGGGCAGCTGTATTACGTACGTTTCAGTTGTTTTACTATCAAATATAAAATAATAATTAATATAAAACTAGATATGTAAAAAATTAAGTTTTGATACGATTATTAAGATTAAATACAGTATTTCAAGAAACTTGTAAGTGTTTTCAATGGGATTTTAAGTATTTTTCATCATTAAGAGGCAATATATCGTATATTTGCGTATATTAAAATATTTTATGAGTATTATTAAAATAATATAATAAAGTATAATGTCTAAATCAAAGGCCGTAAATTGCTTTAAATGTTTAGTGTTGGCTGTTTTTAATTTGGTTTTCGAGTAGTTTTAGTCTTACGTAGCAGTTGAAAATTTTGAAAAAATTTAGATAAGAACTCAAAAGTACTTAAATTATGGAATATAAAAAAATAATAAATTATGTGAAATGTGACAACTAAATATTTTACTTGGAAAGTCATAAAACAGTTTAAGTATACATTGATCATTAATTATAAGAAGGAATAATGAAAATTTTGTTTTCGAATTTTCTCTGCTGATATACTCGAACCTAACAAAATTTTTTGAATTAACTTTTGAAGGCTTTACAATGATTAATATTTTCATTAGTTCAACATTATCATTCATTCAACATTTTTAACCTTCTGTGTGCTTTATTTGGCTTTATTTTTGGGTCTTGTAGAACATCCTCAGTTTCCTTTCAGAATAACTTTTCAACGATGTAACATCACAAGTTATCAGAAAATGTTCTTACATTTTGAACGCAGAAATGTGTAGGTATGTGTTGTGTTCGAAAAATTATGTTTTTGGATATATCTAAGATTAAAAATGTTGCAAAGGACCTCATATGAGTTTGAAAAAAACTGGCGCCATGTGTCTTTACAGAAAGCGCTTGTTCTCCCTGTATTGAAAATGTATATTTTTTTTAACTTCTTGTTGGGTATTTCGCCTCAAAAATTTTAGTCTTTTATATTTTATATTATTTATTTTATATATTTTATAATTTGATATATCACATCAATTATAAGTTAAATATCCGATTTAAAAGAAAAATATTCTGCACGAAAATTGAATGGAGGACTTGTTTAAGTCCAAGTTTAGTAACTTGAAAATAAATTTTGGACGAAAAACACAGATACTTGATAATCGATATAGCAAATTGATTATTTTCAGGTATGGCAACGTGGATATAGGAGACAAAACCATGTACGATCCATTAGAGGCTTGTGCAGTATTAGTTAGGAAGAACTCAGCAAACGGGCAATATATTTATGCATTTGAAACTGGTGTAGCTAAAGCAGAAGAAGTAGCGCAAAGCACCAGACAGCAGGGATCCAAATATCCGAACCCTGGGGCCCATGCGGTTGGGATTTGGTTGCGAGCAGTTTGTGAAGCTGTGAAATTGAGATGCATGGATTGAAATCGGCAATATTTTGCTCTTAAAACGTAAAGGAGTTGTAGCTGTATTCCTTCGCAACGCAAAGTGGACTTGTGCATTAACACATTGCTCAAGGTCCCGAGTGATATTAGAAAATCTAAGGAAAAATACCAATTATTTTAGCAAGTAAACTATTTATTTATTTTACACAACAGAATTGCCAAATTATTTAGTACAAATACAGTATTAATTTATTGATATTAATCATTAGTTGGATTTCCCAGTGGTTACTCCCGATAAATCAATTTTATTTCGGGATACAAATTTTTCAAATTCTGTGCCGGAGAATTTGACTAAGCTGATTAGCTTCTCACCAGCGGGTGAATTGCGCTCATTCTCCAATACTCTAAGGGCTTGACTTAGGGCGGATTGACACTCTTGCAATAGAACATTGATCGACTTTACTTTGGTTTTAATACCAAGATCCCATTTCCTTTTGATGAGAATCATATTGGCCAAGTAAAGCTCATGAAGCAAAACTCCCGAGTACAAAGGAAGCCTAGAAAAAATATGATGTATTGTTTAAGGGGACGCAATTTTCAACCATTTGCTTTACTCAATAGAAATTACTGATTTTTATTTCACGTTTACTATACCTAGCATTTGCTGGATCAATTTTCTTTGTTATTTCCAATAGTTCACGGCACATAGTTGCCTTTTTAGCAATTATGTCGTCGCTTAGTTGATTTGGCATGTATCCTTGCTGATAACCTGAAGCAAACATCAATCTTCAATATTTTTTATACAGAGTACGGTAACGAAAACGACTGCTATTTATGATAAATGACCCCAATTTTGAATCACCCTGATATCAACTTTTTTGATGGAACTAGTAAATCTTACTATACAGTATAAATTAATAAAAAAACTTTTGGTTTGAAAACCCTTAAAATTAAGTAACTCAAGTAGTGAGCAGAAAAATTTACTTATTGGACCATAAACTAGACTTAATAAGATATTAATTACGAGTCCAGCACCATTTACGAGTATATTCGAGTATACTATTTTTGATTTTGATTTGTAATGTTGTGTTAATATTGGAAATTGAATCTGCCCTCGCATAAAAAATATTCGTTTAATTCCTCCAAAGAATAAAGCCCAAATAATTGAAATCAGGCGACTTTGTTGGTAGTTCTATTGAATGAATTGTCCATGAACCAGTCTTCCTCGTCTGGAGATTCTTACTTAAAAATCTACATAATAGAATGGAAATTCATCTTGTTGTCAACCATCCATCCAAACCAAAAAAATAAGTTTACGTTATCGGTTTAACGATATAGTTTCTTACAATTTCTCCAGTTTTCCTTATTAATCTTCCCAGGTGCCGATTGTTAGCAATTTCGTCTGATTAAATAAGTGAGAATTCTATTTACTTACCATTGCTCTAATAAAAATCATAAAAGTAGTAGGGTTCTGATAAGAAAAAAATAAATTTACAAAATATAAAGCAAAACTAGTATTTTTACATTTAAAACCCTGCCAATCTGTAATATCTAAATAGTCATAAATAAGAGTGCGACTTTCTCTTTGAACAAACCTGTCTTTATCCTTACCATATAGTTGTACCAAGGAATGCTTCACAGAATAAACGTGGTAATGATTAGGATGGACAAAGTTTAACATTTTCGTTAAAATACTGTCCAATTCTCGAACAGTCGGATTTGAGAGTTGAACATTATCCACCTCCTCGCCTATCTGGTTGACCAAAAAGCAGACTTCATGATTGGTTAATTTAGCGTCGCATTTATTACACGCCCATTCCGTATTGTCATCGAGTGGGTCTATTGGAAGCTGGATGCCTTCAAATGCACCAAGTGCAAATTAAAAAATTTAACAGATATAAAGTATATATATATTAGTAACTACCTCCGCAAGGCTCATCATCTTGCGTGCCAATGCATTTTAACGCGCTGAGGTAAGTTCCGAGTTCAGTAGGATCAGCACATCTGAGGCATTTGCACGAAAAGTACTTGGTTTCTCTCAAATGCTCTCGTCTAGCCTGAGTACCCCACAAGGCGTGAGTGTACATGGTTGAAATGTGATCACCTTTAGCTATAGGCAACGAGGCTCTAATCGTGATTGTATATCTAGAATTATTTATTAAATTTTATTTGTAAACCAAAGACCAATTTATATTCTAACGATAAACGATAAAAAACTTATATTGTTATGCTGATGAACTTTCTTCTAAATCACTAGTAGATTAAATATTGGCAAACTTTTTATTAGGAAGCTTATTGATAAAATTTTATTTGTGAAACAACGATAAGTTCATAAATTAAATGCTTATTGTTCGTAAAACTAATCCTCTTATGCTGAGGAGTTTGATTGCAAGAAACTAGCACTTTGGTATAGGCAAATTTCTTGGCCATTAAACGAAAATGTTCCAAATACATATTCAGATCTGTGCTGATCATATTTTAACAATTTAAGCAGATAACAGAGTAATTGAGAACATGAAGAGCTATATCGAAAACTAATCCACTCATGTAGCCAAATTCCTACATATTTTTAAATTTGATTAGAAATTATTTTTTTGTGCCCAAATTTGTCCTTTCATTTGGCCGATGAATAAAATAATGTACAATACGGATATTTGTTTGGCTGATCGTGTATGTTCATGTATTTATTACCCAATTAAATTCATCTAAAATCTTTGAATTATCATTTTTCTTACCCTTTATCAGCATTGTCGAACATATGCTTCGTGTTACTTAAACAATTGTGTTCCATCAGGAAAGCTGTAGGATACAAAGCTGTAACTTCGGCATCCTGATTTATTTCTAGTGCATTAACGTCGACAATTCCACAAATTTGATGAATAATTTCTTTAGAAATGTCTTTCAACACTTGCTTTCCGGATTTTCCTTCTAGAATTCTCATGGGTGCAAAAAAGTTGTCCTGCAAATAGTCCACAACTCGACTTTCGTTGATTCTAAAAAGTGCAATTTTTAAATATTAATGTATTTTGCAAGAGTTACTATTAATATTACAATGTTGATAATTTATGTTGATATTTTTTAAGTTGTTAGTCGAATGAAAATTCTATTACAGTTAAAAAAATTATTAAAGTAAACTTTTAAAAAATACTTATACAGGATATACTTCAACAATGAGAAACATTTTCATTTTAGAACAGAATTGTTTTGTAGATTTATTATAAAAAAACCTTAGTTTTTGAGGTAAAAGATGGGAAAGTTAATCTTCTTTTTACTTAATCCTTGAACTTTTCCAATAAATCTATTAATTGCTACTTAGTGAAACTTTCAAATAAACTTTGAGAAAAATGAAAGGGAAGTACGTATGTATTCAAATTTGGAAAAAACAATTTTTGTTAGTATTTTCTTTCATATTTGTTTACCCATTCTTTAAAATGATTTTCATGTGAACATTCCATACAAACAACAATACTGAAATAATCGTCATATTCAAGATAAGACTTAAATTCAATTAATTTTCTATTAACAATTCTAAAAGAAAATTTCAATTTCTAGAGTACGTGCTAAAGTTAAACGCGATTGTGTTAATAACTTTTTAAATCATATTCGTTATGAATTTTATGGATGTGACTTTTTAAAACAATTTTAAATGACAAACTCACTTGTATGTTTCCGTATCTTCGCCTCGCTTATCCTGATGGCTGTTCATCTCCAAAAGTTGTGCAAACTTTTTTGGATGCCTATTTTGCAAAAGCAAACATCGAAGAGTCAATAGGGCATCTTGCCTGAAAAGTTCAATAGAATAATGTTAAACCAACATAAACATGTTATAATTGGCAAGTACCTGTAAAAATCATGCAATCCATTTATAGCTTTTACGTCTCGTAGACCTAAAATCATGCATTCGTGTCCATGTCTGTCCATATCTTTGAGTCCAGGACAATCCGGATTGCAGATCGGAAAGTCGCATCCATCACAGCGCGCTGAATTATCAGCAATAATTAACCTGCGGTCGAACAAAAAAGGAAATCTATTGTATATTGTATTATTTTTTTTGTATTTGTACACATTTTTCTTGATCATTTTAGCATTTGCTTGTAAACTCGTTCTATTTAAATATTAAAGTAAATTTTATTGAATTTGCCGAACAGTTTCGACTATTTTACGCGAAAAACTTTCATTACCGCTATAACCTGATATACCTGATAAACCTGCGATAGAAATTAAGAAACACGAAATGTTTCCCGGTTTAAAAGAAGATAAAACTTTTATTTATGATATAAAAAGTTAATTGGATAGTGCAATTGTTTCATCTCCTCTAAGTATGATTCGAGAAAAAAAATTAATATGTCGCTTCCCTAATTCTATAGACTAGTTCGGAAATCCGTAAAAAAATGTGAATAATATTTTTGCGTCTGAAGCAAAAAATCGCGCATTACCTATATGCTGTTAACAGATAAGAATCAATAAAACATACAGAAATAAACAACAGATAAACATTAAAAAATAAAACATTACACAAACAAGCATTTACATTAGCAGTTTCTTGTGTCTCCTGTGCCAATTTATTAAATTGGGTTGACTCATAGGAATTAGGGTATAGAATTTTACATATACAATTTTGTACAAATTTTAATTAAATATTATTCTTTTCTGTAATGCTTTGTAATGTGTTTTCAGTCCTAATATTTGTTTTTAAATACTGTGAGAATGTTGTTATCAGTTTATAGTTTAAATATAATTTTTATACGTGCTATAAGGTTAAAGCCTTTATTTTCTTGAAAAATTTGTCAATATTTTTGGCCCTATTGGTCCCTTTCATTTCTAGATCTTCCATGTTTGAATGCGATACGACCTAAACATGTTTTAAATAATCATATAAAGCGCGAACTCGTTAAAAAATAACGAGATTCCAGATAAATATATGGTACCTATTAGAGATTCTTAGCAAATAAATTTACTAATAAAATTGCTAAGGAGTTTGCGTGCAACCTTTTAAAACCCTATTGACCAACATTTTAATTATACTGCTACTAAATGAAAACATTTTTAGTGGGTTTATTTTGCTTTATATTTTCGTGACGCATTATATTTAAGATATTTTAATTAAATAATTAATTCTATAGTATATGTGTCTTGAAAATATAAAATCTGAGTATGAAGCCTTAGGCACATTTCCCTATAAATTCTGGTATCTCAACAAAATGTTGCTGATTCGCAGAATGATATAAGTTGTTTAGCATTAGCATGACAACTTTTATAGATTCAGTATGATTTGATCGGTTAGGGAAATCATACTGATTCTTTAATTGACTAATCTAAAAACATAAATTACAAATTCTCACTTGGTAATAAATAAGACGCTTATTAAGTATTGATTTTATTTCAATTTTAAACCCAAGACTCAATAACATATGAGCGAAGAACTAATACAGCTTATTTACTTCGTCATAAACATATTTTAAATATTTCTTTGTGTTTTTTATAGCCCCATAAACTTAAAGATAAACATCAGGCCGCTTGTAAAAACGAACTTTCTGATAAAGAAAACCGAAAAATCTGCAACTTGTTGCTGTATTTTCGATCATCTAGAAATAAATCAATAAAAACGGCTTTTCTACTAAATATACAAACACTTAAATATCTTTTTTAACGGAATTCTAAATAAATTAGCGATTCCAAGAATTGAATTCGCACTAAAATGGATAATTTAATAATTTATCTAAAGTACACTGAATAAAGAAAACGAATTTTATCCGATAGAGGTTTGAAAACAGAAACGTTCATAATAAACCAATGAATGTGGAATTTGCGTTTTTGTTGCCTGAATTAAAGGAAATTTGAAGAATATCTCACCTATGCAGTTAACGTTTTTAATTTTCACATATTTTTAAAGAATAATTTCAGAAAAAATTTAAGGAAATTTTTTCCAACTTGATAAATGTTAAGAAAAATAATCTTGGATTGAAAAAAGCACCCAACAGTGAAATAAAAATTGTAGATTCACAATTGAATGCGTTGATTGTTCTAAAGAAAGCAAAACGTGGCAATGGAAATATTACTTAATTTTTAAACATATTCAATCAATTGGTTATAGTTTTTGAAAACATGTAGATATCGAACACTAAAAATTAAAAATAAAGACAAAAATGTGCAAATTTTTCTTGCAACTTGCAAATTAAAAAAATCTCATCGACATGTTTGTCGAATTACAAATAACTGTTTTTCAAAAATTTTATGATTGATTCAATCCTTTTCATTTCTTGAAACAGGCGAGTAAAGCGATACTTCACGAGCGCAACGCCTCTGAATATGCAAGTCAGTTGAACTTGCGAAACGTTAGGAAGACATTTTTTTCAAAGACCGGCTAAAGCGCCAGAAAACTGCGTTTCAGGCAATGATCCGCAGAAAGCCTCCTACTTTACATTAAATGTTCCAATTTCTTGGTATTTAAAAACTTACTATATTTTTTAGAACAATTTAACCTAATGCCGGTAAATATTTTAATAATGTTTGCCAGAATTTCTGAAAATTTTCGTTTCAAAATTGATGAAAAGAGGGAACTTAAAAAAGACAAAACCGAAAGCACAAAAATTTCGCTTAAAACTTTTGAAGATATTTTAATAATTAATGTTCAGTCGGAAAATTTTCCACTACAGAACTTACCTGCAGCAGCCCGGGCATGGAACCGGACCCTCTTCAACCATATGCGGTCGAGGACCATACACTATGGGATTTTCCACCAAAATTAAATCTCCAGGTTGTAAGTCTCGAGTAGCGACCAGACATTTTCCCTTTTCCGGATCAGTTACAATCTGAAAAATATTTGCTGATGTCGAAACTGATAATGAACTCATTGGAACATTTAAAGTACCTCAAACGGTCTGCACAGATTTTTGTGTTCTTTCCAGTGCTTCTTCTGATGTTCCTTTCCACAATACGCCACTAACTTGCAAGCCGAACACTTTAATTCTGCAGGTTCTTCACACTCTGCACATTTAAGACCACCCATTTTAGGTGTTCGTGTTTTCAGATTAAAAACATTGACAAATTCGCATATTTTTCATACACGCGAGTACACACCCGCGACAAATAAAAAACTCGAAAATGTGGAAAAGCTTAAGCAAAAATTGTTTTAAAAATAGATCGAGTGGGGAAAGCAGTTTATAAATATTCGAGATAATCGTGTTCCAGTTGGAATGTTTCCAGGTTTTATGTGGATGTTATTTGAACCGACGATGTGAGTAATTTGGGAAAATCTTTAGGAATTTTCTGTGATATTTTATTTCATTGTAATTTATTCCATCAATCGATGGAATAGGATTTTTTGCAAATTTGGCCAATAAAGCAACTCTTGGACTTGTTTAGTGAGGTTGGAGAACAGAGTTGTTATCTTCAGACGTTCGCCAAATCAGAGAACAATCAGGATTTCTGAGCAAATTTCTTCCAAAAAATCACCACATTGCTAATGTAGGAGATGGCAAAGAAGAACATTGATTTTATATTCCTGCTGTAGCTGATGAATCAGAGTTTGAAAAGGACTAAATTATAGAATGTACCTGTATACAAAAAAAACCAGAAATATATTGCTTTAATACTAACTAGCATGCAACAAAAACGCTAGTTTTCTTATTTTTTAGGTTTTTTTCATTTTTATTTATATTATATTATCTCACGTCAAATATGTTTATTTTTGTTTGCCACTTATATCCTTCATTGCAAGAAGACTTATTTCACACCTTTGAAGAAATATTAAGAATTACCACATTTTCTAATCGCAACATAGCTGGTGGTAAAACGGAGCAAAACGGTTTCTTGAAAATTATGATTTAAAACTGTTTTAGCCAGTAATAGTAATTGTAAAATCTTGTATAGGCTGAAACTTAAAAAGCATTGAGATGATGCACTCTATTTTTCCAGTAGCGACGATAAAGCTTTGTATATCTAAGGAGTTTCTGAATAAGCTGCTATGTTTTAATTCAATGTAATTAATTATAATATAGATGTATTAATTAATAAAATTATTTTGGTAATTCTCAGGTAATATATAAATAGAAGTATATGTTACAGGTGATAGTTCTTGATTACTTTTTGATAAATAATTCGTTCTTATTGCGAAATAGGAGCACTATTTATCAATCTGTAATAAAAGAGGAAATACTGTCTTTTTTAAAGACATAATTTTTGAGGCAAAATACCCAACAAGAAGTTTGTAAAAAATGAATCCGCCTCAACAATATGGAACTTATATAATTTTTGTTTTAAAACACTCAAGTTTAAAGTGTATGATTTTCTTCATTAACATTTAATTGCTAGTAGACAATATTCGAAAACCTTTGCATTTATTAATGCTTTTCAAAAGGTTGCATAGAACATTTAACAGATAGATGTTATAATAGCTTCGGCATGCATATCCGATCTTCGCTTTGCGAATCTCATTGATTTCAATATGCATTCTTTAGTCTATTTTTATCATCGACGGTTTTCGTCAGTGAATTAGTTGGTTTTCACTTGCAACATTCAACTGTCGGGTCTAATAAAAATATGGTATACAAATTATATTTCTAGGCAACGATTTTCTTCAGCTGAGTATCATTTACGTATATGTATGTTAAATTTTTGTCACACAGTTTGTTGCGTTCATTGATATTTGTATGAGTTGTTTTGGGTTTTGTTCTTGTATTACTTTAAAATGCATTTCGTCTTCAAAATACAATTTGAATATCCATTATTTTCAAGATATGTTTCAAAAAGGAAAATAGAATTTAATCGTTATTATTAATAGACGCAACTTATTATGTAAGTTGCGTCGATTCTTAAAAGTTTAACTTAAGTTGTCTTTTATTTAAAAAGTTATTTCTTGTCATATTTCTGACTGAAATGGTAAATTATGTTTAAATCCTAGACGTTATTTCCGAAAATGTATTGAACTATTTTTATTAAAAATCAATAAACATAAATGCTTCTCGCTCAGCTGAGCCAGTGAGCCGCTCTATTTTGAAAAGCATCAATTAGACAAGTTTTACACTTTATTATCATGTTAGTTTCATTTGACTATATTTTCTGATCAGTTCACTTTTATTTGATTTGTTTTATTAAAATGTTGCCTGAAACGAGAAGCAACTAGACGGTTTTGATAGAAAATTTAGAAGATTCTTCCGTTTTATGTCCAGAAGTCGTCTATAGTATTTTCGTCCTAGTTTTTTCAAAACAGTGCTCTCCAAAATTGAAATGAATTTATAAGGTTAATTTAAAAAGTGTGGTATCATTGAATATACCAAATTAGTACATATTTTAGAATTGTTTAAAATTGATGGAAATATTATATTTTTTATACTATCATTCATCTGACCACTTAAATTAACCATGAAAATAAAACCTGTGCCCAAAAGTAATTCAGTAATTTATCTTTGAATCTCACATTCATTTAAACCTCCTTAAATCAAACTGAAAAATCCCTTTACAGAATTGAATTCATTGAAAATTATTTACTTATTAATTTTACTACTTGCCAACCGAAATTATTGATCGTAATATTTTCTAAAGAATATTTTGCAAAATTTTGACATTTTTTTTGATCAACTGATTGATAAGGATTATTAAAGCAAAAACGATTGGTCCTAAATCATATCTCGATTTTATTATATCTAATAAATTTTATAATTTAATTCAATTATTAAATACCAAGTGTCCCAATCAAAATTGGAAAGTTATTGCAATTATTTCCTCATTTCAACGCACACATTTGTGTATACATAATAAAAGAACCTTTTTTACTATAGTCTAAGAATTAGTTCATATACACAATGTATTAGTAAAATAAATTATTAATTACAGATATGTCTGAAATAGAAGGCCATTGTAAAGTTTGCAAAGAACTGTGCAAACAGAAATGTTCTCAGTGTAAACTAGTGTACTATTGTTCAGGAGAACATCAAAAAGATGACTGGAAAAATCATAGAAAAAATTGTGTGTTTTATGAGGTAATTTAATGTTGTTTTAATTTTATTTTTATGCGTTTTGCTCAGTCCCTCATTTTTTTGTATGTAAAGTGAAGGCTTCACTTCTATTAATTGCTTTCATAAGGAAAGAGAATATTGCAATTTTGTTACCAAAAAGTTTTTACCATTTCATATTTAACATTCAAAGGTGCTTAAATAGTTTTGCAGAGTAAGAAGATGCGGACTTGCCCTGCTACTGGCGTATTATTCAAAAATGCTAAATATAATATCCAAGTAAAACTAGAAATTTGTTTTCCCAATTTCTTTTGTATCAATGTTTAAATTGAAACCAATAGATTAATGAACACCTTAAGTGCCTTTGAAATCGAAATTAAAGGTAGTGAGAAGTTGCAGATTGTATCTTGACTATACATTTATTGCGAAAAATTGAGTTAGATTTGCAGTAATCAAGAGCTGGGTAGATTTCTAAAAGCAAAAAAGGATTTAGAACCGGGAGAGATAATATTTGTGGATACGCCTCTTGTATTTGGGCCAAGACCGTATAAAATTGAAGAGGGACCATTTCCATGCGTTGGCTGCAGCAAGTAAGTACATTAACTAATGTTTCAAAGAACATAGCTAGATAATGGAAAAATCCTAAAGACATTTTTTTTTGTACGAGGTAAGTAACTATCACTGCATAGGAATTATCTTTTATCGGAAAACATTCCGTTTTGTGCGTTTATAATGTGTTATTTAGTCGGTTGATAAAAACTTATAAAAGGTCAGTTTTAACTGTACGTTAGCCTTCTTTAAACTTTTTTGACTTTTTTTTACAACATGTAAGTGATTGAGTGCAGTTTGAGTTTTGTAAATTTTTCACTTCTTGAAAAGACTCAGTATACATACCATACCATAGCGAAACCTAAACCATTCTACAAAGTCAAATCGTGATTAGTTATTAATGAGATTACATTTTTTTGTTGGATAACATTAAATTTTTTGAAACTTAATCGCCATAAAAGCCGTAAAACACCTGAACACGTTTTATAACAAATTTATTGTTTGGATTATTTCATTGAACCGAAATTTCAACGACTTCAATACTTCCAAATCGTCTTTAGGCTACTTTTGATATAGAAATTGTATGTCCAAGACTATACGTTGAAATGGTTCTTGTCCTTAATTTAAAAAACAAACACAATAAAAATTATGCTTATAATATATTTCAGAATCCTCTTAAATGAGGTCCATGCTTGTCCGGAATGCGGATGGCCTGCCTGTAATGCTGAATGTGCGGGACTTAAATCTCCCCAAAGACATGGACTGGAGTGCCAAATCCTTAAAATGCGACCTCCCACACAAAATCAGTCAATGTACCAGTACTTTAGGTATCTGCTGATTAATATGGATTCGCTATTTTTCTACGGATTTTCCTAACAAATTTCAGATTTGATATACTGATTCTTCTAAGAGCGCTCTTCTTGCAGAAGAGCAACAAAAAGAAATGGGATGTTCTTCTGGACTTGGAGGATCATTTAGATGAAAGAGGTCCAAATAGTCCGGTTTACAAGTGAGTAAATCTGCCAGCCACACTTGCTTTAAATGATTGAGTAACTTTATACAGAGCGGTTCAAGAAAAAGTTTCCTACGTTGAGGAAAACTATATAAACCCTTTGAAGGCTTTTGAAAAAGAGTCCGGCCAATCCATACTTCCTCAAGTATCAAGTGATATCATGCATAAAATTTATGCTATTCTGGATGTTAATGCTACAGAAATTACAGAATTGCTGGATTTATTCATATTATATCCAATTGCTAGCTTATTGGAGCATAGTTGCCTTCCGAATACTTCGCAAACAATTGATAATGAGGATGGGTATAAAATTACTTTCAGGTAAATATTTACAAGCAGATATATAGATTTAATTGCTAACTACAACCCAACATTGAACGTGTTTTTTTCAACATATGGTTTAGATATAGAGTTCAGTGTTATTTATATAAGAAAGTTAATCATGGATATTTAATTTACAAACCGGTTTGAAGTTTGGCTATGCAGTTTTTATTCATTGCATTTAAGCAAAACATTATTGGAAATTGTTTAAAAGTAAATTTTTTATTTTACAATTGATCGATATATCTGTATTGCGAATGTCCGTTGAATGCAGTGGCAGTTCATGGTAAAGATTTTCAGATGGCTTGCATAAAGAGCGTTGGGCGCAATTTTTTATAAATTTAGTCTCCTGAGTTTCTGAGAAACGTTTTCATTCGTCCTATGGTTTCAGAAACATGGTACGGTTCTTAATTTCATTATGGCAGGTACTACCACAATTTGAAAATTTCTTCTAAGATCTAATTAGTATCTTACTATCTACGTATACGTAGATCTACGTCTATCAAAGTAATTTTTAAATAAATGTTTGCATTAAAAATTTTTACGCAGACTTTAGATAAAGTTTCAAAAAAATCGTTCTATTTTAATAATTTAAATAAAAATATACCATATTTCTCATTAATAATGCTTGGGAATTATTTTCCTACTAATTCTATCTTTTATTCATATGAAAATTTAAAAAATTTCATACGGCAAACAACCGATACTCATCTGGTACTCAATAACGCGCAGCGTATACTGTTTGAATTGCTGCTTTGAATATATGTTTGGAAACCGCTGTTACTTTTTGTTCCAAATATTATTACTTTAACATTCTGTTAGATACAGAGAGCGGAACTAACTAAAAGTTAATGAATATTCGTATAATTCCAACTTCAATTGAAATTATTTTCAAAGTTTAAGCAAAAAAACTCTTAAAAACCTATAAATTCGACTGTTATGGATTCATTAATTAATATCTATTGCATTACATTGCGCAATTAAAAACAATTACCTTAACAAGGGTGATTATCAATAGGAGAAATAGCACCATTTTTTTTTTAATTTGTATTTTTCAGTTAGGCTGATTGCTTTAAAATTATTATTTTGAACTTATTATCATTATTATAAATTATTTAAAGTCCTGGAATATATGGCTCGGCTTCAAAAATCTTCGATAATATTAATATGTTCACGCTCAGAGAATGATGGTATATATTTCAGAAAAAAAAACAAGTATTTTGTTATTTCATGAGAAAGAAAGATAATTTGATGTTTTAAAATGTTATTAATATGCGATCGAAAAATTGATATTTTAGAGCAGCTTTGCACATAAAGCAAGGCGACCATATAACTACAACATATACGAATATTTTGTGGGGAACTCAGGAAAGGAGAAAACATCTGAAGGAAACCAAATATTTTGCTTGCTCCTGCCAAAGATGTCGAGATCCTACTGAGCTGGGTACTTTTTTCAGGTAGTAGCTAAAATTTATTTTTGTATTAAGTAAATATTTCAATAGAACTTTATAATAAACACTTGTTTCTCAGCAACTGTGAAAGTTGATAACTAAAACCTTTTCAGCGCTTTAATCTGCTTAGGAACAACTGAAGAACCATGTAAAGGTATACAATTGCCAGTCAATCCTACGGAGGATCACACGAATTGGAGGTGTAATAAATGTGGAATAAAATTACCCAATAAGGAGATTTCAGACTTTGTTAGTCACTTGAGTAAGGAAGTGAATAAAATAATCGAAAAGCGTCCCAATCTTGAGGAACTTGAAGAATTCTTAGGCAAACTGGATATATTTCTGCATCCTAATCACTATCTAGCTTACACGATAAAGCATACTTTGGTACAACTGTATAAGATTGATGATGAGATTGAAATATCTAATAGTTTTCTGGATGCAAAGTTGAAATTGTGTCAGGAGCTGATTGATTTGACTAAGAAACTGGATCCAGGAAACTCAAGGTAAAAATACTATTAAAACTAAGTATGATAAATAGGTACAGTCTTAACATAATAAGTTTTTTTCACAAATTTAAATCAATTTTATTGCATAATATACCAGTCGTTGATTGCGGCGTTTTGCTTGTTTGTTTATTCAATTGGAACATATTTAAAAACATGTGTGGACATTCTTTCCTGCTTCTCCTATCCATATGTTAAATAATTTAAAGTTTCTGTTGCATCCATTCGCAATTTGAATTTATATTTTCAGATTTATTTTCTGCAGTATATATCTTTTGAATACTGAAACTTCTTTCAAAAAGCCTCAAGATTCTAGATTGAGACAATTAAATATATTGTTTCCTTTATATTTCACAGATGAAGAAGATACAAGAGTTAGTAAAATATTGTTTTCTTCATTTGCAGATTGGCGATTTATTTAGCTGTTCTTCTAAATGAGCAACTCATGACCAAATTTAAAATATTGAGCAGGAATTTCGGTGACGATCAAGAAGAAACTTCACACTTAAAAGACGAAGTTCTTCAAATCGCCTCTGAAAGCAGAGATGTGTTGAACAACGAAAAACACTCTGAGGCCGGAGCCAAATTATTGGAAGTTATAAACTTTAATGGCATTAAAATTCGTAACTGGCTGGAGGAACATGAAATTTTCACTGCAAGTTAATGTGTCTTTTAAAGAACCTTAATGATATTAGTTAATTGTAGAAGTTGATTAAAGTTAATCTAGTAAAGGATTTTAATATTGTTTTTGTATATAATTGAATGGAATATTCGTAAATGAATTAAAACTCACTCTCTCCCCATTTCTGCATTTGACTCAGAAATTAAGAAGGAAAATTTCCTAAGCATGCAGCAGAATCTGGACCATATCAGCTTATAACCGGGAGTTAACGCATGCATTTTTTACACCATATATATTTGCTAGCTAAAATGTTTAGATGTAATGAAAAATTTTACTGTAAACGGTAAATCAGCATCAGAAACAATGATTTTAAACACCGTGTATCTATAGAAAACTTTGAAATATTTTTAGTCACGCTATCAAAAAAACACGCAGGACATATTAACGCTAAATAACAGTTCAATGCACTTTTAGTTGAATATTGAACAGTCATTGCACTAAAGGAAAGTTTTTCTTTGTCTGAAAGTTAAAAAGGTCTACAGTAGTAAGTTTTTCCAGAAAATGGCAGAAGGATTTGCGAGTGTCGCTTGTTTTTCCATTACCACGCTTTTGGTTGTGTCGTTAGCCAATCTGATTCTTTTGATTATGATGATCTTGGAGTCGAGAAAAAAGTGTACGGTTGATAGCGATGTAACTGACAGTGCTTTTCGCTTCGGAGCATTGCAAGCTGAAGATAAATTTTCTTCCTTGATTCATAAAAATAATATTCCAAGCGCTAATTCGAATTTTATGGCTGCTTTGGTACTCTTAAAGGGTACATCGATGACTTTGATATGTGGTAAGTGTTTAACTGTTCAAGTAGCAGCTAATAACAACACAATGTAACCGATTCTATAGGTCGAAAAACCAATTCAAAGAATATTTAGTTAAAAGTTAAAATTAAAAATACAATTATGCATTTTAAAGCATTCTTAACTTGCTTATTTCAAAATCGAGTTCAGTCAAAACCTATACATAATGAGTGTGTAACGTAAAAGACAATTTTTATTTAAAGATTCAAAAATACACTTATTTAAGATCTGAAGAAATTTATTAAGAACCGAAACTAAAAAAACGTTTTTATACTTCTATACCAGATGCGTCTTTCAAAATTCACTGTAATTTCACTTATTGTTGTTGAGAATATGAGAGCTCAATCCAAATAAACCGAAAAGGCAGGATGAAAAAATTAAATAAAATTCTAGAAATATATTCCTCGGACTTGTGCAGATCGGAATATACCTATATTTAGTTTCACTATTTTCAAATTATGCAATTGTTTTACATGTGTGTTACTTAATGATGCGAACAAAATCGTCACTCTACAGGAATAGTAATGGTAGCTTTATAAGCGGAAATTAAAAAAATATATATGTTCCGCCACTTAGCTTTGCGAAATTGAAAATTAGTTTAGTGAACATTAAATTTAAATACGCTTTCGGAAAAGATATATAAATAAATTATCGGGATAGAACCAATAAAAAAGCTAGACAATACCCATACAAGTTATTATATTAATGTTAAATGTCGTATAATCAAGAAACTTAAAAAAACGCGTAACAAAGCGCAAAGAAAAAAGCTAATAAGAAGAAAAATTAACTTTAGAAAGATTGAGTCGATTCGATGATGTTTTTTATTTGCAAAAGCTTATTACGAGGACTGTCTCCATAAGTCAACTGAAAAAAAAATGGCAAACTATATAATTTTCTATCAGCTTCCTAGGGAAATTAGATACAATTGGTCATAAATAATGACTAAAAAATTGGTTAGATCTGGGAAAATTTTATGGTGTAGAGAGAGGAGGAAAAGGAAATAAGTTATTATAGATGCAGGAATTTTGTATTTCGGTAAGATCACTTATACAATATACGTATTTCCTATGTATTAATTGAGAATGATACAACCATAGCTAAAGACTTAAAAGAGCATGATACTCATTGCTTAAGCATTGAGGAAAATGTGTACACTTCAAAAGATATTTTGTTATAGGGACAACCATTATAAGTAAATTTTGGGTTGTAACAACGGGGCACTGCTGTGAACTCATACGAATATATCCATTCGAGAAGTTGAAGTTAGCTAGTAACTCGGAAAATTGGCGAAAAGGCAAAAAACACTCTGTGGAAAACTTGGTGCAGCACATTAACTTCACTGCTAAAAGCTCATCATTTAATGTGTGTCTAGTAAAAGCGGGCTCGCCATTTAAAGAAGAACACGAAAAACCCATTGCTTTGTCTGGCTCAAAGTAGGCAATATTGATCACTTTAAATTAAAAATTAAATTAATAGCTAATCGACAGTTTGTTATTATGAAGGATTTTTCTATATTTTAGCTATCGCTATATAACGGACACTTCGGCTATTACTTTAGGATGGAGTTCAAATAAAGGAGTAGTTAGCAACCACGTCTACAGCATCGATATGAACTTGATATCATTTCAACGATGTAAAACGTTGATTAAAACAGATCGGGTAGATGAAACGATGGTTTGCGCTTACAATATCGACAGGGGCGATTGTCGTTTCGACTCAGGAGGACCATTGATTCAGAACAACATCCTGATAGGAATAGTCTCGTTTGAAACGGATTGTGCTAAAAGAGCGCCACCCAGAGTTTTCACTAGAATGTCTTACTTTGAAAAATGGTTTCAGGTGATAGAAAAACAGAATGGTATTACTATAGGAGCAGTTTTTCAAAACTGATGTGGTCAATTAGAGTGATTTAACTAAATTACAGGGAGTCCAATTTACTTTCGTAGGTACCAAATATATTTGGTACCTACGATATATATATGCAGATTGATTCTTAAAAACATGTGCATATTGAAGTAGAGATTTTGTCAGGTTTATATAATTAAATACTTTTTAGTCAAGCAAATTATTTTTTTCTGATAAAAGGAGCGTTAACATTTTAAAATTTTTGATGTTTTCCTAAGTTGTTTCTCTGCAACTTGAGATATTGATAAATTTGGAGTTTCCAATTAGTGGTCATTCCAAATGTTAAAATATACAGCGGGCTTAAACTAACACTATTTGCCGTACTAATTGCATAATATTTTCAATAAAAACTGTTGGTATTAGTTCACACACATATCTGTTCTAGCTTTAAAGCCAGTAGTTTTAGGGTGATAAATGTAAGTAGCCAGTCACCTCGATTTAGGCATTTAAGTATCTACCTATGTTTCTCTAAAATTGGAGAAAAAGGGCTTGAAAAAATATATTTTATGTATAATATCCTATACCTAAGTCTAATCGTTTTTGATATATTTGAAATTATATGTAAAAAATGATAGTTGCAGCCACTCGAATTATTACTCGTTTTTCCTATAAGGGGATATTTTTCCTATAAGAATACTTTAATGGAATTTAATGGAAACCCCCATTTTTTATAATTTCCTCTTATTCAGTATTAAAATAAGGGTAAGGTTGTTAAATTTTCTATTCCAAAAATGTTTAGTTTTCGAAATATCGTCTGTTTAATGTTTTCATATGGCTATTTTGTCGCATCTTATTCCAAATACTGTCACTCTCTTAGTTGTCATAGCAAAATTGGCAATTTTTAATACAATCAAATGCCAAAGGAATTCGGACCGCTGTCAGTTAACTTTTGAAAATAATTAATAATCAGCGCAGACGTTCAAATTATACGAACGAAGATTATTTAAACTTATTTATTATTTCCGGACAATGTGATAAAATTATCAATATATTCAATATCCACAAAAACAGAAGCCTTCACGCTGTGCTGTTAAACAAATTATAGAAAATTTCAAGAATTTTGAATACATCTTAATAACAGTGCATATTCAATTTATAAGAGCTACCAAAAAAATTAAAGAGCCCTAGATTTAAAGAAAAAATTGGTTTGTGTTCTTGATATAATTATAATTGATACCTATAATAATAATTAATAACAAATAAACGGTTCTTGAAATAACTGTATCACATTATTCATATGATTACGATAATAAATAAGTTTAAATAATATTCGTTTGTATAATTTAAGCCTCCAGGCATGATTATTAATTATTTTCAAAAGATAAATGACAGCTGTAAGCATTCTTTTGGCTTTTGATTGTATTATAAATTGTCACTTTCGTCATAGCAGTTAAGAATGACAGGATTTAAATTAAGATGCGGCAAAATAGCCATGTGTAAACTTTAAATTGACAATATTTCGAAAACTTAACACTTTTGCAATAGACAATCTTACACAAACTTACATTTATTTTTAATACTGAATAACACAAAATTATCAAAAATGGGAGTTTTCATTTGAAAAACTGATTTTTGGCGGTTTTCTCAACGTCATTTCAAAACTTATTTTTGTAACACTTTGTATTAATAGTTTTATAAATGTTGTCGAAATTCCATTAAAGTAAGACCTTTTCGACAAGAAATGCAACTCAAATCAAGTAGGCCATATTCGCTTATGGGAAAAATAAATAGTTATTCCTGTGACTGCAACTGTCATCTTTTACATAAAATTTCAAATATATCTAAAACAGTTCGACCTAGGTATAGGGTATTATGCATAGAATATATTTAGAATTTGGAGTAGATTTAAAAAATGTAATAATATATAGGGTGTTCCATTTAAAATAAGCAAGTTGATACCTACTTCCGATATAACCGGAAGCCATATTGAAAATATTTCAGGTCGCTTGTCGCCAATGCCTTCAGCACACTGTGCAATTTTCAAATTTCTCATAATTACATTTTGCCAGATATCGATCGCGTCGGTTCCCTGTGGGACACTCTGTATAGAACGGGTGAAAACCTTCAGATAGTTGGGCACTAACATCAACAACCAATACGACTGCAAAATGGAAATAAGGTATCGAATTGAACAACCTTGAAAAGCGCTTATGAAGACACTCTGCAAGACCTGAGATAAGACTGGATCTCCGAATGAGTATGGTGAGATGCCATGTGTTTTCCATTCTATTGAATGGATGTGAAAGATGGATCCTCGATCCAACTACCGAAAAGAGATTGCAGGCATTTGAGATGTAGGTACCTTCATGGAAGCATGTTGCGGATATCATGTGTGCAAAAAAGGAACAATAAAGAATTATTACTTCCCCCGGGTGCGTAAGCATCTTGAACTCCTAATTAACATAAAAAAAATAACGACCAGGTATATTGGGCATGTTGGATCCAATGAGGAGTGCAAAATATGACATTCTGAGATAGATTAATAGGTAATTGATGGTGAAATACGCAGAACTTGCCACAAGATGAATCGTCAACCTTCGTTAGGAGACGGCGTACCAAGATGAAGAAATTGAGACTAAGAATCACATAAGAAGTGATAATCACATCAGTGCACGTGAAGTCACGTTCATGTGTTCGCTGGTATACTTTTCCAAAATTATGTTTTTATCTCAGAAAAATGTTCTTACTGGTTTAAGAAAATTAATAGGTATGTACAGGGTTATTGATAGAACTTTGGCCACCCCGTTTTTGCATCTAATTTGAAATTTAGAGACAAATGGTAAATACAAAAGTTGTAGATACTAACGTCTAGTTTATGCTAAGATAATACCTATTAATACAGGGCGTCTCAAATTCAAGTGGCAGACCAAACTTACGTTTTTTTAAATGGAATGCCGTACTTTTTATTGCATATTCGATATCTTCTATAATGATTTTCAACTGTTTTTGCGTTAATAACCAATATTGATTGAACATTGGCCACTCCGTTTTTGCATCTAATTTTACATTTAGAGCAAAATATTAAATACACAAGTTGTAGATACTAACGTCTAGTTTATTTTAAGATAACACTAATTGATACAGGGTGTCTCAAATTCAAGTAGCAGACCAAACTTACCTCTTTTTAATGGAATGCCGTACTTTTTATTGCATATTCGAACTATTCGCACAATTCTAGGCGTACTCGATATAAATGTTCTATAATGATTTTCAACTGTTTTTGAGTTAATAACCATTTTAAATATTCGGGCATTCCTTTAAAAAAATTGAGTTTGGTCCGCCATTTGAATTTGAGACACCCTGTATCAATTGGTGTTATCTTAAAATAAGCTAGACGTTAGTATCTACAACTTTTGCATTTAACATTTTTCTCTAAATTTCAAATTAGATGCAAAAACGGGGTGGCCAAAGTTCAATCAGTAACCCTGTATATTGCAAAGTAAACATACGTATGCATATAATATGAGAAAATTAATAAAGAATCTGAGAAAGCACGAAATGAAAATATAAATCATACATCACAGATGTGTTCGCTGATTTATATTATCACAAATCACAGATGTGATCTGTTATTTGTGATATAAATATTACATTTATTGCGTGAAGTGCAAGTTGGGCACATTATCTGAGTTAGCACGATTTGTCGGTAGATAACAATTTATTAATTCATTAACTGGAATTCCTATACGTGTATTAAGGAGCTAAGGGAACCATACACCATGCAGTTCTAAACTGCAAATTTTATAGCCCGATTGATAAAAATAAAGTTAATATTCCTTTAAACCTGATGTGACTACCAGAATCACAATTATTTTCTTTTATCCAAGAGCTGGCAACAAAGCTCACATAGGTTTACTTAACCTGTAAAGCGACACATTGCACTGGTCTGTTTTGAATTTTCAAATTAATAAGTTTGTTATAAAATTTACAAATAATTTACATTCAGCCAACAAAGTTTGAAGGATGAGTACCATTCTAGAGAAAATTGCTGCCATCGAATCGGAGGTAAGTCAGCAAACCGGGCTTTTCCACCAGACATAACCTAACACCGATTTTCTAGATGGCAAGAACCCAGAAAAATAAAGCAACTGCTGGACATTTAGGTCTTCTGAAAGCCCGACTAGCTAAACTTAGACGAGAACTCATTACTCCAAAAGGAGGTGGTGGAGGCACTGGAGAAGGTAATACATTCAGGGTAGATGCAGTCGTTTAAAAAAAATTGTATTTTTTTTCAAGTTTGCAAAACAAAGCTGATTTAAAGTTATAGTAGATGTATATATATACTTGGCGTTTAATGTCCTATTAACTTATAGATGCGACACCAAATGCATTGGTTCACATAAGTGCTAGATACTTAAAGAATGTACATAATTGCTTATCCAAAGAAAGTACGATTTATTGTTGCGTTGCTGATAAGTTGTATAACATTCATTTACAAATCGCTTTCTGCCGGTACAGCTAATTTAACGGTAATCTTGTCACCTGTGGTAATGTAATCTGTAATCTATTTACTGAGTCATTTTAATGTGGGGAACTTTCTCTTCCATGAAGTTTTTCAAGATCTTTTGGTGCTAACCAGATACATTTTTTTAGATTTAGAAAGTCGACACTTTTCTGTACAGACAGAGTGTCAGAACTGATTGGATTTATTAGCTAATCTATTTAGTGATCGCTTCTTATTAACGAAAAAATGAACGTTTCTTCAGGGCAAATATTTGAAAGTTTTAACAATTGGTCTGGTTGATTTTTCTAAATTAAACACTGTATTTGACAAATTCGATTAATTCCATCTTCAATCATCAAAGAATGTTATAATACTCGTATTCTTGTCTGTTTTCGACAGCCTTACAAGTTGACTGTTTTAGTTTTCTTCTTTTATTACGAATTTGCACACACATTGCAACCTATTTTTTAGGAACTATTGTGTATGCATATCTACAAAATGAATGTAATGGTTCAGAAAATCATACCACGCATCGAAATTTAGTGCTCGTAAAATTTGTTACCAAATGAATTACATTTGTTTTTCCTCTGGCTATTTGCCGGAAAGTGCTATTAATAAAAATATTATTATAATGGCATTTTACAGGGCGAATTGCCTGGATTCTGATAATAAAGGGTGATTTTCTGTTTTTTTAGAGGTATAGAACTTTGAATTTAAATAAAATTCATAAAATGCATGTTAAGATCATGGCACTATTGAAATATGGCTTTATTGAAAATACAATTGTATGCCATTATAGCTTAAATATGATTTGAGGCATGTGGGCCCCGCGGCTGGCTCAAATGAAGAGCAATTCACGAATGAAGTCAAATTTTCGACCATTTTGACTCCACTATAATTGCCTGTTCAATTAAGCCAGTACCATGACGTTAACATGATTTTAGTGAGTTTTATTTCAGTTTAAAGTTTTATACCGCTAAAAAATCACCCTTTAATAGCCAAGCTAAAGATAAAGAACACATAAGATCTAAAATTTAGCGTCTATACACGCAAAGTGTTAGATACGTTTGATTTTGGTAACGCTGATATCTTAGTAAAGACGAGCTTACTCAAATTAAAAAACAGCAAACCACTGCACTTAAAATCGACGGATTTATTAAATAAATAATCCAAAATAATATCGACTTAGCTATATAGCTGTTTCGTTCAAGAATTGTTCTTATTTTAATACATTTCTCATTGTCAAGTTCTTATCTCCCCGGGGGTATTTCGCGAACACAAGAAAGGAAACACATGTAATTAAAGATCGAAATATCTAATATATAGGTTTTGGGGAAACTGTCGAGTAAAGCATGATGCACAGATCGAGCAATGACGAACGCAAAACATTTCCTCGTTTTTGTTTCTGTTGTTCTGTGCAATATTTAGTGATTTTTCCAAAACTCTTATGACCACATATGTTTTGAAATATTTTCCTAATGCGGTTTTTTTGATTATCTAAAGAAGTTAAGAAATAAATTAGAAATTAAAAGAAAATGTAAATGAAAACTTATTTAAATATGTTATTTTAGGTCGGGTTCTATAAATTGATATTTTCGGCTTTAGACATTAGTGTCTATCTTTTGCTTATAATAAAGTCAAT